ATAGTGCAAGCAGAGGCCACAGAATGAAAACTGATAATGGAAAATTCAGACTGTATTATTCTTTTATGTATTTTTTATTATAGAAATTCTTTATTTTATTAGAAAAATGGCATTTTGTGTTAAATTGGTTTCATGTAAATAAAATTTAAATGGATTATAGTGCCTGTCCTCTGTCTCCTCCTCTTCAATTGTTCCTTCTGTTCTCATCGTCTTTTATGCTTTTATTATTATTTTTTTATTTTATTTTATTTTCCTTTTTTGTCTGTTATCTTCCTCTTCCTCCTCTTTCCGCTGCCTTCATCAGGTCTCCAGTCTGCTCGGGGACCCGTCCAGGCTGCTCATGCAGAAAGCTTTGTCTCTACGGCCTCCAGGCCTCTTGCCTTTGGGGAAGGGCCTCCTGGGAGACTCTCCCTCAGGTGAGCAGTGCCATGTTGTCAGTTTCAACTCTGGAAAGAAAAAAAAAAAAAACTTTAACAACTCCAAACAAATTAAATGGAATCAGTCTGTCTCACCAGTAATGACTTTACTTACTTTGTCACATTTTCTGTTTTATTTTATTTAATGTCAAATGTCATTTGTAAAGATTTTGATCCTGCTACTGCACCTCCATTCTCCTACAATGTTTTAGCTGTTTGCTTTGCTCCTCCATGAGAAGGACTCACCACTTTTCTAAATTATAATAGTCTAAAATGTTTTAAATATAAGATCAAAACCAACCTTACTTGCAGACAGTACGTGCTCTTCTCTGTGCCCTGCACATTTTGCACTACTAAATTAACTATGGTAGCTCAGAAGGGACAAATTCAGTTCTTGCTTCAGAGTAGACCTTTTATTATTTTCTTATTTTTTTTAAGCAACCACTATAGTTTTTCCTAAATGTGTTGCAGTGTGAGTGAGAAAGCACTTAAGCCACTTTGCCATTGATAAGTGCAGCTCCACTCGGCTCTTCTCAGGTGTAGGTGGTTTGCCACTGTGACTTGTTTCCCCACTCTGTGGGCGGTATCGTAACAGGGCATTGTATTAGTCACTCTGCCCGTTGTGGTCTTTAATCCCCCTATAAATGGACGTTGGGCGGCTGTGGTTGAGTGGTTGGAGCAGTAATCCTCCAATGCAAGAGTTGGGGGTTCGATTCCACCAGCAGTCACATGCCAAAGTGTCCCTGGGCAAGACACTAAACCCCTCATTGCTGCTGATGTGTGTCCCATTGGTGTAAGAATGTGATGAAGCACTGATTATTCTTGTTATAGATCTAGTAGAGTGCTGTATGAATGGGTAAATGAGGGCACAGATTGTAGTGTAAAGTACTTTGAGTGTCTTCGTAAGATAGAAAGGTGCTATGTAAGTACAGTCCATTTACCATTTACTTCAATTTCTTTAGCTTATCCCGGCACTACTTTTAAGTCCAGGTGTAGCTATGCTGCATCATCATCTCCAATCTCTCTATGTAAATGTGCTAATTTCTTGTGGCGCCGTCCGTCAACACGATGAGGAAGTGGAGGTTCCGATGTAACTTGCAGTTTTGCTGGGTGCATCATTCATTGACGTAGCTCCGCTGGCTAATCAGCGGCTGCTGCCTGCTTACGTTGGCACCTCGGAGCAACCCGCTTGGAATCTCAAACAAGGTGATCCCTTAAACCAAGCTGAGTGGGGGTGGGTACTGGCAGTGGGCAGGCTCTTAACTGGTGCTGTGTCGTGCAGAGCCGAGGAGCGTTGAGACAGTGGCAAAGCGCCATTAGTTGGTTGTATTTTGCAGTTTTGTCTGTAGATGTCAAACCTCACAAATGAAACCTTTGTATCTTATTGTATCAAAAGTTATCAGATGACTTCAAACATTGTTGAGATATGCCATGGCTTATAATCTGCATTATTTTAGAACTCTGCAGACCATTCATGCCAGAATCTCCCTATACTGCTCCAAATTGCAAACGGTCTTCACAAGAGCTTCTGAAATATTTGCAGCTGTTCTCAACTCATCACAAAGCTGTACATTTTATTTGCATTTTGAGCATGTTCGCTTAAAGTGGAAGACAACTGTTGTCCTAAACTAGATCTCGAGTTTTCATTGATATTTTGCAGTTTTTCTCAATTAAATTTCTGTAAATCTAAACCACTAAAGCTGTAATTTTTAAGAATTACTGTACCACCTGTTATTTTCTTGCTACTACTAGGATTTGTATGTATTTGGAACTTGAAATGCATTATTTGCCCAAGACAAAATGTGCATTAAAATATTTGTAAGCTCACATGACACCTGGTTTATAGTTTGACACATGGACCACCTCAGTCAAACTTCCCACCTGCCACTGACCCCACAGAGGGTCACACCAGCATAGGTTAAATGTTTCACGCCACTCTGGGCTTGCCTCACGGATAATGGAAAAAAAATAAATAAATAAGAGTAGGGACATTAAACTGCAGACACACCACACTAATGGCCTACATTTTGTTTATTTTCTCCAACTTCTCCCATCGGAGCGTAATTACACGAGAGCCACAAGCTCAGTGAATGCTGCAGGTTGAGGTCAGTACGATGTGGGTGGAGGTGGACAAGAAAATGTGTACAGCCTAGAATACAGTTTTACAAACTGTGCACACAATAACAGATGGTGAAATAAAAAATAACTGACTACAAAAATCAGGGCCACTCAGTTCGCTGGTCACAAATTAATTCACCTATTTTCTCTGTGTTGAAACGCAGACTAGTCTCCAACCGATGCAGCTAAGTGAGATGCTGACTTTAGTGACTTGCTGTCAGTAGGGACAGTGGAGAGCGGTCCTTGGGGGCAGTTGGGGCGAAGCCTCACCTAAAATCAATAATTTGTCCCACAAAGTAGTTCCTTCTGATAAACAATATAAATTACTTATTTACTGAGTGTGCATTTTACAACTATTTTAACATTTTTAGTGGAATTTAAAATGATTTTTAGAGCTTCATTCACATTTTTTTTTACTTATTTCCCATTATGGGGCAGTATATTTCAATGACTCGCATTCGTAAAGCGGATCTGATCGGGTCCAATAGTTTAATTTGGGTTGTTTGATTTTCTCCTGTGAAAACATTCAGCTGGTTTTAGCATGTTAAGATCTCTACCTTAACCTGATGTGAGCACAAACCAAGGAATAGCTGCAGTGAAACCTGCTGAGGCCGGCAGTGGAGATATTCGGTTCTTAAATCCATTTGGAGCAGACAGAGGGGACCAGAATAGAAATTTAGAAGAACAAAGGAAAGTCAAAGAACAGTAAATTTCCACCAACACGGTAGGACCTTATTTAAGCAATTCCATGGCGTGTGTGTGTGTGTTGCTAAGGTGGGTCAGTGGTTGAAGCAGAGGTCTTGCAACTGAGTGTTTGTGGGTTTGATCACAACTTAAATCTTCTATTTGATTTGGTGATGATATATTTCATCAAAATTTTTCACTTTATTACTTCACTGAACTTATTTTCTCCCATTTAACTATGTTAATGTAGAATATTATTTCAGAATTATTACTTCCAATCAAATTAGAAATCCAATTCAGTAAGCTGTGCTCCTGTCGGCTGGGGGTGGGAGGCGTCTGTTTCTCCAATTTATTGGACCGGACTGTTTTTCATTAGGCACAACCTCGACCAGCAGGAAAATAAGGCAGAAACTTTGTAGATACACGCACAAAAACAATAAGAATAAATTAAATATCAAGCAACACATATTTTTCATTCAACATTTTTTTTTCATTCAACCTTTATTTAGACAGGTTAATTCCATTGAGCCTCGAAGACTCATTTACAAGAGAGACCTGATTTCAACAAAGAATGATGACAACAATGGACAACAGCGACAATAGACAATTATAAAAGAGGCGTACAGAATTTTTTTTATTTTATTTTTTTTATCCAGGGGGGTTTCACAGACAATGTAACACAATTAGTCAAAATATTTCAGGAAATTATTGTCTGCCCCACTAATTTTTGATCCACCACTGGGTGGGGATATGTTAATTTCCAAAGAACCAGTCCCACCAGTAAAGATGTGTTCAGCACCTGCAAGGATGTCTGTCTCAGCTGAATGTCTCACAGTTGTGTATCACTGTACAAAACATCCCCAGGAAGATGCAGAACATTTACAATTCAAATTTCCAGCTGAGAGTTGTGTTAAGTGGAAATGATGTATCACACAGTTTATACACACACACACACACACACAACAATAGTGATTATAAGGGTTTATGCGCTTATGTACTTGTGGTTTTGATTAACTTTGTGTGTTTTCAGTTTTATTTGTGTGTCTGTAATGTGAAGCTTTCTTCCATCTCTACTACAAATGTTAGCTTTAGGCTAGTGCTGTTGAGGTTATTTGTCATAGCGATATTAGATTTGAAATATTTATGAGTGTGTATTTGTTCGTCTTTATTGTTATGTGTATCTTAAAGTTGTGTTTTAGGGTTGTTGTTTTTTTTATGCTTGTCTGATGTTTTTGTGTGTATGTACATGTTTCTGTTATTAAACCTCCAGGGAACTGTGGGGGGTGCTGGGCTGTAGATGAACAGAAGTGATGAATTATGCGCTCAAACTCCATTTTCAAATATTACAGCCAGACGCAGATGGACTGAGCGCTCAGATTTCAGCCTGAGTGAGATGTTTTTCTGTTCAGAGGAGACAGACCATGATGGCCATCTGTAAAAGCAGTTTTGTATATTTCTCTGGCATCACCTTGGTTTTTTTTTTCTTCTTCTTCTTTTGATTAATTTCCTTTTCTTCACACTATCTTCTGGTCTTATCTTGACTTATTTCCCTCTCCCTCCTATTCATTTCCTTTTCTTTTTTTTAATTTCCATACATTCTCCCCACCCCCCTTTTTCTTTCCCAGAGTTGGGCCAGGAGTCAGTGCCATCTTCTACCCACAATGCTGCAGTAGTGGTATCAACAGCAGGTGTGATGCCGTACCTTCAGGGTCGAGTAGGAAGAGATCAAAACAACGCCCTTTCTGTGTCAAGCTCTCGTGAAAAGCAGCCGGCTCCTCCTGGGACGATGGTGAGCTCCCAGCCGCAGGGTCAGAGCTATTCTCTGGGTATAAGTAACTCAAACCTTGGCCCACCTCCACCTAACCCCCCTGGAGGAGTTTATACATCAACAGGCCAGCTCAGCACCTCAGATGGCAACAGTTTAACCAATGTGGTGAGCGCAACCATCAAAACACAAGACGTTATAAATCAGTTCGACGTCCAGTTACATCTCCTCTTTTATTTTTTACCAGGTGATCATGAAGTCTTCAGGATAGCTCGAATGTTTGTGTGCTTGTCAAAGGTCACTTTTGTAAGGACAAAATCGACATACCATATTTTTCGGACTATAAGGCGCGTTTAAAATCCTTTAATTTTCTCAAAAATCATCAGAGCCGTATAATCCAGTGTGCCTTATGTATTAATTCTGGTTGTGCTTACTGACCTCGAACCGATTTAATGTGGTACACAGCGCTCAAAAATCTGTCAAAATGAACTTATTTTGCTTAATGCGCCTTATGTATGAAATCAGACCCGTTCATAAGCTATGTTTACATGGACATAAGTAATCGGATTAAACGGCCGTTCGGAATAAAAATGTGTTGTATAAACGCCCCGTTCAAGGTATTTTTTGTTTATTCAGCGTAATCCGAAAGAATTTGTGGTCAGAATGAGACGGATGGTTTACGCCGATTCATAAACCGAACGATGTCCACGTAAACGCTTCATCTGTTCATTTTTTTTCCGATCATGAAAAACTGACCTGACTGCGCATGTGCAACTTTGTCATTTTCGCCTGGCTAATGCTAATAATATTAGCATGTCGGGGAAGCAAAATTGGCCGGTGAGTGACACATTTCTACTAGAAACTTTGAAAGAGCTCAAAATGATCTGTATCACCTGTAGCTCAGTCAGGGAGTGCAGTAACGTCTCCACCGTCATTAAAACTTGTCACGGGTCCATTTTGGGTGCTCAGGTTTGTTTACGTTCATCCCGGAAGTAAACCGGAAGTAGAACTTCTTCTTCAGTGTTTTTTTTTTTTTTAGGAGAGTTTACCACTCTGCACATGTCAGTACTTCTGTTCAGAACAAAGCCCGCTGCATGTAAATGCTCATCGAAAACAGATTGTACCCATGTAAACGATACATTTGAATTATTTAATCTGAAAACATTTCAATCCAGTCATAGAATTTTGTGCATGTAAACATGGCTATTGATATCGCGCCTTGTAATCTGGTGCGCCTTATAGTCTGAAAAATATGGTAGTTAAGGAATCTGTTTTTTTCTAACTTGATGTTTTACTCTAGAAAACTGGACTTGAATTTATTTGGAATAAATTTTATAATTTTTTTAGAGTTTGTTGGGCAATGATGGTTGCTTTTCTAAAATCACTGGTGATGTTTTACTTTTTCTTGATGCTGAGTTAAAAGCAAAAACAAACCAAAGATCATTTTGATTTTGATCATCCTAATTTGTAGAACAAAATAGAACGAGGGAGTCCCTTCTTTGTGTATCTTTGCTTGCAACCTTACAATCTTTTCATGCTTTTTGTTAGACATGAAAAATGTGATCTCCAGCAGTCTGACCCTTATCGATCTCACTGAAACACACTGAGCATAAAACATTCAGTCTCCTGAGGGCTCTGTCTTTAAGAGATTCCCATAATGCACTTCTATCCCAGCCATATTTTCTGATACAGTCTGAGACTTCCTGTCTTTTCAGCAGTTTGTTGTTCTGACAAAGCAATATTCACATTCAGATGTTTGCTTTCTCTTTGCCGTGGCTTTGATTAAACACAGCTCCTCTACAATCCTCAAACATCATCATTTGTTACGAGATGGTTTAAAAGATAATCACATTACTGCTGAGGTTCTTTGGGGAAGTAATTTCTGTCCCAGTGCTGTGTTCTGTAAATTATTGGAGAGAAAATGTAATTAACAGAACAATCTTTGCAGATTTCTTGGCCTCTTTAGCTCTTCAGCAGCTCATAAAATTCATCTTTATATACTTGAGTTGATTAACGCTTTAGAAATCATTTTATCGATTTAAAGGCGAGAACAGAAAAGATGCTAACCCTCCTTCTTCCTACCCTGTTTTTTCTGAAGTTGCTATGTTTAACACAAATAATTTAAATATATATTTTTTTTCTCTCTTTAGGTAAATAATGGTCAGAGTTCTTTATTGGGCGATCCTCCTAAAGAAGTCAGACTTCCCTCCAACCCTTACTTAAACCTGGCCAGTGTAATGCCAGGAGTCATTCTGCAAGGTGAGCACAGCAGTACATAATATAAAACATAACTTTAATTCTATGGCCTATTTTCAACCTTCAAATGTCACTTTGTTAAAGATATTTCATATTTAATCCTGTGGTAGATTTTTTTTTTTTCTTCTCTCTCTCAGCTAATAAAATGTAATTTTTTGACAAACAGTTTTTAAAATAAATTATTTGCAAGTTCTAACTTCACGTCACTTGTTCAGCAGTCGACATCAATTCACAGCAGTTACAACAAAATCTTGAATAAAACTTGTAGGCAGCATCCTGTATTTCCATGCTCTCAGTGCACAATACAATACAATACAACTTTATTTATAAAACACTTTACAAACAACACCGCTGGCCAAAGTCCTGTACACTAACACACACAAGCGCAAAAAACATTAAACCAACTGAAATCGTAAAAGCAATGAACTGTTAAAATGATACAACAGCAAACAGTAAAAACAACAAAACAAATAACTTAAAAACAGTAAAACCAACATTTCAAGCCGAGTTAAAAGCCAAATCAAACCTAAACACTAATGGCTTCACCCGTCTTCTCCGTGTAGCAGTGAGCAAGGATCATCTGGTTTAACACAGCAAATTATCTGACGGGTGAATTTACCGCCTTTACTAAAACACTGCCACTCGAGCAGATGCTCGTTTGACATGTAACAGAACACACAGACTTATGACCAGCAGCAGCCTCTCCCAGCAGGACAACACAACATAGAAACTGCACAAACAGCCCAAAGAACATGACAAAGTGCTCAAGAAGTAGCTCCCAAACTCCCCAGATACTGATCAGATGAACCCTCTGATGTTATGACATCTCCTTGTGTGTCTAGTTTTACATACAGCTCCTTTAAAACATGAGATTCAAGTTTGTGCATTTTTGATTTCATCAACGTGACCATTTTGTCTGTAACTGCTATTAATCCAAACTGTTTTACAGCGTGAAGGAATGTTGTCATCTTTGCTATAATCTTTTCAAATGGGCATAAAAAAGCTCCTGGACTCAAGAGATAAACCAGTGTTTTGTCAACACATAACATAATGTTATTTAAATGGGATATTTAGGGCATCTTCTCACTGGGCTGCTTCTAGTTGGTGAACAACATTCATGAAGGAATTTCCAGAATGTGTTATGACATTTGATTCTCAATTTCCTTGGTGTCTCAGGAGTATTTAGTCCATTCAGCATGAGTTTTGAACATTTTTTAAAGACTTGTGGGACAACGTGTGTCTTTAGTCAGAACTGACGTGGACATCTCTGTCTCAAAAAGCACTAAAGCTGCATTTTGACTCGTACAAGGAAGCTCTCCTGTGACAGAAGGCATCAGAGGTAATTATCCAGGTGTAAAAAACGCACTGGGTCCAAGTCTTTAGAAGGAGGCTTGGACCAGTTTTTCCAGTTGAATCTTCTTCAGAAGATTATAAATATGGGGGGGGGGGGGGGAATGGTAAGGTGTGGTTAAAAAAAATAAAAGCTGAGGTGGACAACAAAATAATGTGTTCAGCTATTAATTCAGTTTTAAAGCGGTGCACACAAAAATCAGTTGTGATCGTCAATAATGGGTCTTTAAAGACATGGCTACTTGGCTCGCAGGTCGCTCAGTCACAAGCTTTCTGAAATGAACGAGACTTCAACAAGAAATTAATCTTGTTTTCTCACAATTTTGAGTTACCAACAGTCACAACTCAATAAAGCAACACTTAGAGGCACATTGATAAAGACTTGATGTGCTCTCATTGTTTGACACTAATTTGTGAAAATGCCAAAGATACCACTCTGGCAGACAGAACGTAGGATCTTTGCTTCAACAAGGTGGTTCTCAAAGAGCTATTAGCTAAAAACTCAAACAGCAGCTGACGGAGTGAAGGATTCATCTTTTAGGTCTTGGAACAGGGCTTTACATTTCCTAATGACTTATAGATGCTGTTCACCTACTGAAGATATTTATTTATTTAGCCTGGCACTGTCTTTATGTCCTCCACTTTCACTTGCTTCATTTTGTAATGACACACGGTCAGGGTCAGGTATGTGTCAGGTATGTGTCAGGTATGTGTGCTAAACAGAATATAGGAGAAAAAGCAGCAAAAGCCAAACTTTGCGTGACCTTCAAAGTTCAGAGTTAAACAGAGGCGGAAAGAGTACTGAAAATTTGTACTCGAGTGCAAGTACTGTTACACTGCTGATATTGTACTCAATCAATTACAAGTAAAAGTACTGGTGTTATAAAAATACTTAAGTAAAAGTACAAATTACTGTTCTCAAAAACTACTCAGAGTAATAATTACTTTTTAACCAGTTGATGTTTTATTGTGTTGTCAATAGAAGACATTCAGTTTGATTTACTGTATATAATCGCTACATTCAAAGCTCATTTCTCAGACGCTCTGAAGCTCCGTCTTGTTTTAGTACCAGGCAAACCGATGGCAGTGACAATAGATCTTTGTATACTTAGCCAAACTAATAACCCACACATACAAACAATCATACAGGTAGCTGTAAAACCTTGTATACCACAATATGTTTTTTTAGATTAAATGCTGAAGTCTTGTAAGCTGCTATCATTGTAGAGATCAAACAAAATTTGCATCTGGATTCTGTCTCCTTTTCACCCTCTGTACATGAAACATTCCTCCAGGTACGGCCACGGGCACTCAGCCTTTACCTCATCATTTTCTCTGTTTACAGTGTTGTCCTCTGTCTCTGTTTAGGCTTTTTCTCCAAATCTTTGGTCCATAAATGACTCTCTAATCTACAGAGTTGTCCTTTGCTTACGTCATATGGTGTGTTTGTGATCTGAGAGTCTTATTGACTACAAAGATGCAGATGAACGGTTACTAACCTGGATAAATAAAGGCTAAATGAAAAAAAATATATATATTAATTCAAATTGTGGCCGTACTCATTAGCAACTTCTGATTTTAAAAGGAGCGAAGTAGATTACATGGGCTAAATTGTACTTATGAGTAAAATTATACACTTGAAAGAAATACTCATAAAAGTACAAGTACCCCAAAACATCTACTTAATTACAGTAATGTATTTGTAATTCATCACTTCCACTTCTGGTTTTAAATGTTACATAATGTCTGTTTCCTTACTGTCAAAGTGCTGGATTTTAGGAGCGGTTTAAAACTTTTGCACGGTCTCTGTGATCCGTTCAGGCTCGGTGGCTAACAAGCCTCAGGGGGGACAGCCAGGAACTGGAGTGTACAGCAACCCGGTTGCTCCTGTGGTCTCCCAAGGTTCTTCTTACCCCCACAGCACAGCAGCTACAACCCCCGCCCCGTACAGTGCCGACACCTCCACCGACTTCACCCAGTACAACCAAATGTACACACAGGTAGTACTGCGCATCCAAAGATAAAGTTGTGGCAATGAATGGATACATGCAGGTTTGTGTTTGTTAGTGGTCTTCGTTGTGTGGGAAGAGCTGTGAAGGTGGTGGAAAATGAGTGGATGGATGAGTTCAACTGCAACAGTGAGCTGTAACTAGGAGAGGCAGGGAGCTGGAAGAAATGAGAATGGGTTTGGATACTGGGACAGACAGAGTGAGAGTGGATTTGGCAGTGAAGCACTGTGCGTCTCCATCTGTCCCTGCTCCCCCTCCTTTCTCAGCCCTCCACTCAAAACAATTCATGAAGCCCTCCTACGAGCCGTTTGTCTTCTCCTCTCGCCCGTTCCTTAATTCTTTCTTTCCTGCCACTCTGTTTTCTCTCTCTCCACTCGTCGCTGCGCCTCCTCCAGCAGCAAGTGACATATCTGATATTTTGCAGCAAGAAGAAAACCCAATTTTAAATGTTAATTGCAATCTACTCATCCAAATAAATGAGTCGTGATTAGATAACCAATAACACAGTTGGTTTAATTTGTCTGAAAGGCGAGACAAAGGAGTGACACGGATTGGGAACGATGGTTAATGAATGACAAAGAGTATGATGTGAGGAAGACTTGAAAATCAGCAAGGCAAGAAATTTATTGAGTGAGCACAACCGGTCTGTTCTGTTCACCTGATGTGTGTGTGTGTGCCACAGGACGCCATGCAACAGTGGTACCAGCAATACCAGGCAGCACAAGCTCACACTTACAGCACCGCTGCTCCACAGGACAGCACGGCTACAGAATACAACAAGGAGCACACACAGGTAACACACAAACTGTTAGACATTCGGTTTTTATTTTCACAAAACATTGCATTAATGCTTTCATCCCTCTAACTTCAGGACGTATGTACACAAAATGTATCTCAGCCATGCTTGAAGACAAACACAGCACATGAACTGATAACTGTCTTGTTTCATTGACGACTTCCATGTGCAATATTTACTGAGTTTGATGGCCTCAAAACTGGAAAGAAGCAGTGCAATCTGCTTCGACCGGCTGGGTTTGGTAGGAACAGATGCACAATGGCAGGTCAAGAATCACATGTTAAGATAGAAATAGTATCAATTGAAAACTATTCCATTTTAACAATTCATTTAAGGAAATGAGGTCAATTTGTCCTCTAGTAGTCTAAGCTCGCATGACGAGCCAACCCTAACTATAGGATTTATCAAAAAGGAAAGTCTTAAGCCCAGTCGTAAAACTGGACAACATGTCAGCCTCACAGACAGAAACTGGAAGTTGGTTCCACAAGAGAGGAGCCTGATAACTGAAAGATCTTCCTCCCATTCTGCTTTTGGAAACCCTAGGGACCACGAGTAAATCTGCAGCCTGAGAGCGAAGTGCTCTGTTAGGAAAATATGGAACAATAAGATCTGTAATATAAGATGGAGCTAGGTTGTTGAGAGCTTTGTAGGTTAGAAGTAAAATTTTGAATTAAATTCCGGAATTGACAGGGAGTCAATGGAGAGAAACTAAAACTGGAGAGATATGTTATCTACTACCAACTCCCATTAAGACTCTTGACAGCAGCATAATATTTTGGAGAAAGGGCAAAAGTTTACTAATTTTGGTGAAGAATTTTAAATTGTTATAGAGCCAAAACATTAATAGCCTCATAAACACTAAGCTTAGATTTTTTTTTAATTAAAAATGGGTTAATTTATTGGGTCTATGTTTGTTGTTCTCTTGTGTTTGGAAAAGCTCATTTTAGTCTGTTCTCAGCAACTAAAGCATAATATGAGTAAGTGCCCTATAAAACTGGGTCGATCAGCCATTTGGACCTTTTGGATGGATGTTCTGTAAAATCGTCCAGCTGTCAGTCATTACAACAGATTCATAGAAGGTTTGATAAAGTTGATCGACTTGTATGTAGATGATACCACTTTATATTCATTAAAATTGTCCAGTTTCCATCTTGATTATTTTATCAACTGCAATATTTAGCCAAGTTTTATGAATCATTATTCAAAAGTCTCCTTTCTGGTTGAAATCAGTTAAGGTTTTTGGTTCTTCGTACCATTAAGTTAAAGAAAAAGATTATAGCCAAAGGTTTGCATTTTTTCGTAATATTGCTCATTTTGAGAATATTTTTTTCATCTGTTTTGCTGTTAAGTCTAAACATTATATAATAAAGGATTACCAACTAAATTGCAGGAAGTCTGCATCAACCTCTTTTGCTGGCCAAAATGATACCATTCTTAAACTGTAGTTGTGGGCCGCACAAAATCACTGCAAGGGCTGCAAATGGCCCTTGGGCCGCACTTTGGACACCCCTGCTTTAAGCAATTCTGTTGTTTTTATGACTTAAATCTTAATCGCTGTGAAGCAGCAATCAGAAATCACTGTTGTATTGGTTTAAATCACCACTACTTTTCCCTCTCCCCTGAATATCTCCTTAGTGTTTTTTCCCTCTAAGTCATCACACATTTAATCTTCACTTTAGATGAAGAATAAATCTGTTAGCGTCCACTTTTTGGGAAAAATAGTAATTTTGAACTCTTTGACTTGTGCAGAAAACACAGACTGTCCTGAAAGATGCAGAGGTCTTAATCTGCAGAATTTGTGTGGTAACATGATCATTTTTCAACCTTTTTATTTTTACTCAATCTGTGAATAAAGAACTGGTTCTGCTTCACTTTTTGAGGAGGATGTATGTTTGTGCCTTGAACCATAATCACTGTAAACCATCACAGGCATCGTTGACGGTGGCCGTGTGCCCAACTGTTTGTCCATTCAGAGTTTTATTTGTTCCTTAGAATATTGCTACTGTGAAACTTTTTTCAGGTTCAAGTTTTTTTGGTCTGATTTTATGGTTTTGTCTCCTTTTTTGAGTTTCTTGCCGCAGCTGCATGGTTTGCCTCCTCAGATGACACAAGTTGCCTGAATGACAGTTTGGATGTTGGAGTTTTAACAGGACAAACTTGACTTTTGCATTTGAAGCATTAATATCTGAACCTGCTTGTGTTTCAGGTTCCTGCAGTGACCTCTTATGGAGATTACACGTCCTACATGCAGGCTGTCACTCAGTACTACTCACAACCTGCAACAACCAACCAGGCCTACCCCACCAAGGTAAACGCTCCAGTGGAGATCAGATCTGAACTTTTCCCAACAGCAGCTCCATGTAAAGTTTTTTTTATTATTAAACTTCAGTTGGTTGACCTTCATCTCATTTCAGCCGGGAGAATGTGCTGTAGCAGGCATGCACTGCACCTGGTAGAATTTTCAGCTAGTTTGAAGAGTCTGGTTTAAAACAAAAAAGTTTTACTCTTAAATGTATTCAGTAAATTAATAATAAGTTATAAATAATTTAATAGTTCTCTCACAATGCATTTGACATCAATGTTTACAGCTGAAACTGTAGAAGTAATGCACATTGTAAAAAAGTGTTAAGTTATATGCAGTGTCTGTAATCACTATAAGATTTATTGAGCTTTACCTGCAAGGGTTAATGCAGGAAAATATAGTTTTATAGAAAGTTTTAAGCAGCTTCCTCTTTCTGCAAACAGCGATCTCTGTGTTGCATGCCTCAGATCTGCATGCTGGTACTTACATAAACTTTGTTTGCATGTTTATTTGAATAACTTCTCCATAAGACTGACATCCATTTATAGTGAACCCATCACGCTCACCGAGTGAGCTGCCAAGCGTAAGCTGCACCAGTATGCTTAAAGGTGGAAATGAGTTACACAACAGGGAGGAGGGCGTGTGTTTCTTTTTGGTTAAATGTAAGTTATGAGTTAGTTGGTTTCTATGAGTCAGATGTGAAGTTCTCTAAAATATGTGTGGCGTTGTTGGTGTTCCTCCTTCTGGTCCATAAAGTCCAGTTCTTGAAACAAACCAGATGAATATATTTTTTAAAGGATACTTTGGGGTTCAAACAAAAAGTTGTGCCAATAAACTTATAATTTGATGAAATTGTTTAAGCAAACAAATGTGGTTATGTCACATAAGGGCCACTAGAGGGCAAAAAAATTAAAAATTAAAAAAAAAAAAAACAGAACCCCAACATGAAATGTTCTGGACAGTACGTCGTCAGTCAAACTGTTGTTTTCTGTGTTTCTTGCAGGAAGCAGACGTCTGTAAGAGTTTGGGCGTCCCTTTGCATGCGGTCAGTAATGGTCCACCACCTCCACCGGCGGTTTTACCGCCCACCGCCGTGCTCCCAGCCTACAGCACCCTGCCTTTAATGCCCAGCTTCATTGGGACGCCACACCCGCCGGCAGCCACACCGACCCCTGTCACGCACCCCCAGACTACAGCCACTGACTGGAACACGTACTACTACGTGAGCGGAGACAATAAAACCTTCAATAATTTAATGTTTAGATCTGGAAAAATAGTTGAAACAATTTTTGAATCAAAGCTACTCATCAAAATTAGAAATACCAATCAGATGACTGTCATCCTTTGTTGAGTATTAAAATGTAGCATTTTAAAAAGGAACAATAAGCATGCCAGTGCTGCAGGGTGGATGATATTATTGTTGCAGATAATTAGTTTAATAAATTCCTGTGAACTAATTCTATATTTAGAGAACTAAACGTCAAATCTTGTATCTAAGACCTGTTTAAGTCTGCCCATCTTAAACACACGCTTAAACTCAAGCTGTTCTGTGTTTGCTCCAAATACAAAAAGTAGATATTTATTTTTTTGTTTGTTTAAATTGATTATTTAAGTGGAAAATTTAAAGTTATCAGGGCTTTCCCTGCTGTGGAAAGTGCTTAGTGATTCCAGTTTGGAGAATCAGAAATTAAAATTCTTGACATTTTGTCCTCAAATATGTTTTTTTATTGTATAAATTCAAATAGGGAGTGAAGGACATGAAGCCCCAGTTTGTCACATCGGGTCATGACAGAAACAAAAGAAAAATGTTTGATCTTATTTTATTCTTGGTTCCAAATCTGTCTCAGATGAAAACTGGTCTCAGTGTATCCACAGCTAAAGAGTCACGGTGTCACAACCACCAACTTCTTCAATCACACACTATTCAGATTACAGTAGTCCCTCAATTATCGCGAGGGTTACGTTTCGGACACCCCCGCAATAGATGAAAACACAAAGTAGGAATGCTAACTCTTAAACCTACATCATTTTAACAGCATACATATATGTTCTGTACAGTACTGCAAAATGTTGCTCAGCAGCGCTGCAGACCAGCAGCTCGGTTCTGGTCGGGCTTGGTTTCGGTTCTGCAGACCTACCCTGCAGTGACGAAGCCCACCGCCCCGTTCAGGTTGATGAGTGCGTGGATAATTGAGCTTCAGAAAGCTTCAGGATCATTTGCGACTTTCCTGCCAGTTCTGTGATCTGAATAGATAGCATAGATTTGTGTTGCAAAACTTTCCTTTCATTTTGGCAGAAAACAGCGGCCGGAAGCTCTGTTGGCTTCTGGGTAGTGTAGTTCTTTTGGCTGGTGATACAGTCTAGACTTATGGAAAGAAAATTACAAAATGAGGGCACCTGTTCAAAGTATTTATTCGTTAACTTTTTATTTTGTACAGTCCCATTCACATGAGTAATATTAATGTTGACAATTGTTGAAAAACCACGAAAGAGTGCGTCCGCGAAAGTCGAACCGTGAATTAGCGAGGGACTTCTGTAAATGTTTTTTTAATGAGACACCAGAGGCAACTGGGTTTTATTTACTGTAGTCCCTCGTTTATCGCGGGGGATTCGTACCCTGAAGAGCCGCAATTAGTGAAAGACTGCGAAGCAGGAATAGTACTACAAGTAGTAAGCAGTAGTTTATTTTATTATTTAAATATAGATATATTCTAGCATGTTTTAAACTCTTCCCACATTCTTGCAATATTCTAAACAATGTTTCTAAACGCTCTAAAAGAGCATAGAATGTCATGATTTCAGCTCTCTGCCTGGGCTGCTCTTTGCCACCTGCAAGCATTCTTGGCCACGCCCACTTCGCTCTGCACGCTGATCAGCTGCAGCAGGAAGTTTCACTTGCAGCAGTATTGGCTGCACAAAGGTGCAGCAGGTGCTAAATAATTTAAAATAATTTATCTTAAATAAAAAATACATGCTGATTGTGCAGCTCATCCATCAATCAGCCAATTGTGTGTCATGTCGTCTTATTTTGAAAAACCGCAATAGAGCGAGTCTGTGATAAACGAACCGCAAAGTATCGAGAGACTACTGTATTTTATTTTATTACCCTGTCTTCACTTGTAAACGTAACATCTGTACATGAACTCTGTCTCTTCAGAACCAGTCGAGGGGCCTTAAGAGGGAGTATCCCCAGCTCGCAGTGCCAGAGGCGCCATCATCAGAGGGGGCCTACATTGGTCAGCACTCCCAGGGCCTGGGGGGGCAGTATGCTGACTACTTCAAGAGGAAGAGGCTCTAGAACTGAACCACCTTCAAGCTTGCAGCTTACAGGAAGGGGAGGTCACAAACATCTGGATGTCATGGCTCCCTTAGTGGCCTTTTTGTGGCGGCCATGTTTGCTTCCCTGCAGGAGGGCTGCAAGTGGCTCAAGTGAAACCAAGCCATAGTGCTCTTTGATTTATTTGGCTCTTCCTTACACACACGTACACAGTATCGCTTTTGTCCTGTTCAAGCCTTAACTATTTATCTGTCTGTACTTAACTAATACATTTTTTCTAATATATATTGTACACTAAAGTGTAACGTATCTGTAGGTACAAGCTGCTTTTGTATTTGCAGGCGACTGTTCATACAGTTGGTCCTTTTTTAACTTTAATTTTTCTTCCCAGAATCCTGTCTGTCACTCTCGCTTTGATTCGTCAGTCAAACTGATGTCTTGTTACTGCTTCACTGCCTTTTCTGACCCAGGTTCCTCTTTAAATCTCCTTGCTGAGAATTAGTGTGTCTTTTTGTGTGTGTGCGCGCGCGTGTGTGCGTGTCTGTATACGTGCGTTGCTATGCTGTAACTGTAGGAAGTGTCAGCCATTTTGATCCCTAAGTTTGGGAGCACATCAGGAAAAAAAAATAGAAAACAGAGGGTCTAAATCAAAAAAAGCCCTTAATTGTTGTGACTTACAATTTAATGAATTAACTTTTTTAGGAAAGAAAAAACGAACAAAAGCTGTGTAAATACTGCAGTGTAATATAGACTATATAAAGCCATGCGTATCAGACAATAATAAATAATATAATGAGCATTTCAAGCTCTTTTTTGATTGTGCTGTACTACAAGACGAGAAGAAATAACTAAATGTCAGATTCTTTTTTTGTCAATATCATAATGTACTGTTATATATTTGTAATATAATAATAATAATCCAAGGCAGTTCAAGTAATATATTATTCCTAAGTCAATATATGAGACTTAAAAGTTAATATTTTGCTGTTATTTTTTATATTTATGCCAAAAAATAAGGCGCAGTTCTCTTCTTTTGCTGTTTTGCTGTCGGACATTTTGATATTTCCAAGAACGTTTTTTGCAACTTTACCACTTTATCTTTAAACCCACAAACGGCTACAGTTTTTACAACAGTTGGCTCCAAATTAAACACTAATTCAACATTTATTAATAAAAATTGAATGTGCTGCAGCCTACGGGTATAGAAATACAACTCCAATTCTGACAAAGTTGGGGTGTTTTTCCTGAAATGTAAATTTTTTAAAACTTCGATGATTTGCAAATCTCACAAACTCTATATTAAAAAAATATGGAGCAAAATAAACATGTCAAATGTTTAAATTTGGACATTGTACCTTTTTTTTAATGAAGATTATGTAGAATTTTATGATGGGAACAGATCTAGAAAAACTTGTTCCAGACCCATGTCTCCTTCTGTGAAGTGTCCTGCCTTTTTTAATCAACACGTCTAGGAAGTGAGGAGACGGTTTTTAGTCACTTATGTCTAGGCATGTTGCGATAAACAATAAATCAATTAATCGCATGATAAATTAAAATTATCAACCCCATTTTCATTTATCAGCTTTATTGTTTCTTCGTGTGTCTCTCTTTCTACTGAAGACACTGGATGACAAAAAGCTCAACTCCGGTATTCTTCACTGACCCCTCCCTTAATTTTTTCTCTTTAAAAATCATTTTAACCGTCCAAACTCACGTTTTTGAATCGTTAAAAGCAGCTAAGCTGAGAAGCTAATCTGAAAAGTTAAGCTAACAGGCCGACCTCGGGGGGGGAAAAACCTCCGTCTTGTCCAAAATTCACGATTGAAACTCGTGCCTTTGTAGAAAAGTTGTTTTTCTCTGCAAAAAGAAGCTGAAAACTTGTTTACTGATTTTTTTTTTCTTCACTCCCTCACTATCCATCCTTCGGTTCAAACAGTCTTATGCTGCCATCCAGTGGTTGAAAAAGGTACTACATTCAAAATAAAATCGACCAACTTTTCTTAAATTTGACAATAATTACTAATTATTGTCAAATTTCAAGCAATATTATTGTTTATCACAATAATTTCTGAGACAATTAATCGCCCAGCAAAATTTGTTATCGTGACAGGCCTACTTATGTTCTCTCGTTCTTGGCTGATGGAGGATTCAGGCGGTTCAACAGTCCTGAGTCTCTTTACTTGAGGTTTGGTGGATGGGAGAATGTTTCTCTAAAGCCTGCATCAACTTTTCTGCAATGAGGGTGCCATTCCAGATGTGTAAACTGCCTTTGCCAGAGCCCTAATGCACCTCTATACCATCAGAGAGACAGGCTGTTGAACTGTGCAGTGATGTCCGTAACAGAATCAGAGCTGTCTTTACTGCAGTGGCCCCTGAGGGCCCAACAATTACAGAATATTGACTTTCATCCTTGTCGTTTAAACTATGAGATTTCTAAACTATGGGTTTGTGAAATTTGCGAATCATTGCATTTAGTTTTTAAGACATTTTTACACAACATCCCAACTTTTTTTTTTTTTTTTTTTTGGAATCAGGGTTGTAAATGATCTCTACTTTTCAGTGTTTTCAGGAAAATCTTCTTTTCAAGATTACAGAAGAACAGAAAATGTCGAGGGCAGAGCAGCTTTTTTTAAATATTTTTTTTATCATGAAGTCGAAGACGCCGTTTCTTTATCCCTCAGTATTTTTGTGTAGATGTTTCTCGGATGTTATTGCACAGTCTGTGTAGACGGTTTGGTTTGTGTTATTAGAGACGAGTTCAGACTTCCGGTCTGACAAACCGGCAATAACTAAAGCTCCTAATGCTGTAGAAAACTGAATGTATAAGCTGTTAGTTTAGTATTTTATTGTTTTTAGCCATTAGATACAGGCACTGATTTATACACATGCAGAAAGCTTTTTTTTTCTTCTTTGTATTGGTGGTTTTTTTTTTGTTATATTCTGCTCCTACATTTCTGGTTTTATATCTCTGAGCAGAACATGAAATACATTGCCATGGCAATCACATGCACACAATGTGACGACTGAAAGACGGGACAGCAAAGTGGAGCAGATCTGAGCTGCGAGTTTGTCTGGGGTCAGACGCTCATAACCGCAGAGCTGAGTCAGCAGCGGTGGAGGAATGCAGGTACGCTCGTTAAAAATGACACCGAGGGCAATAAAACGACACAGTCCGTTCCTTCAGCCAAGATTCTTACATTTAGTTTATAAACCTGTGAAAAAAGATTAGATGATGTTTTGCTGCTTGTAACATTTTTATTAGCTGCTGCTGAAAAGCAAAAACAGGCTGTAATTTTTTATTATTTATTTTTTTCATTTACCCTTTATTTATACAGGTAGTCTCTGAGCCACGAGAACTCATTTTCAAGAGAGACCTGTTTAGGGAGCAGATGGGGGGTTAAGGGCCTTGCTCATGGGCCCAGAGTGGGGCGAATGAGGATGGGGGCAAGTGTGGGTGCTTCACCTACCCCACCCACAATTTTGATGTTATCGAGGCCGGGGCGTGAACCCGCGATCTTCGGATCCCAGGCCCACCCCTCTAACCTCTGCGCCACCACTCTCCTCGTTAAAGTGGATGTGGTAGTCGCTGAGAGTCATTCCCAACACACACACACACTCTTGAGCATGAGACTGAACAGAGGATGATTTTAACTTGACCCTAATGGCTCACTTCTCAGGCAGCACGGTGGAGCGGTTGGTAGAGCTGCTGCCTCTCAGCGAGAAGGTTGCCGGATAAAATCCCAGCCCGGGGCCTTTCTGGGTGGACGTTGCATGTTCTCTTCATGCATGTGTGGGTTTTCTCCAGGTGTCCAGTTTCCTCCCTTGGACCAAAAACTTGCGTGTTAGGCTGATTATTAACTCTAAACTGTCCCTAGGTGTGAGTGAGAGAGAGTGAATGCTTGTTTGTCTCTGTGTCCCTGTGATGGACTGTCCAGGGTGTCTCGGCCTCTTACACATTGACTGCTGGACATGGGCACCAGTGACCCCCGTGACCTGAAAAGGAAGAAGCGGATAAAAGATAATAGATGGGCTCATATCTCATAAAATGATCTACAGCTCTGGTGTGTAAAGCGGAGGGCGATATGCATCCCTTCTAGAAATGTTGAGTGTTTTAACAATAATAAGATTTGTGAGGCAGACGATGTGTTTAAATGTCTTATTTACAGTAAGTCCAAGATACTTTTCCAAAATTAAACATAAAATCTAGCTCTCAATTTGTCTCCTCGCTGTTTGATTGGTTGGTTGTGGGGGAGTGGTGGCACAGAGGGTAGAGAAGGTAGGCCTGTGATTGGAAGGTCACCGGTTCAACTCCATGAACTGACGACATGAAATTGTGTGAGAAAGGTGAAGCACCTGTCTCCACACTCATTTGCCCCACTCTGGGCCCTTGAGCAAGGCCCTTAACCCCCACCACCTGCTCCTCTGGGTATCCTAGCAGCTCTCTGCTCCACACAGAGGGCTGTGGTAGCTCGGTGGTCTGTGGTTGTGTCAGGAAGGACATCCGGCGTAAAAACATTTTCCAAGTTAGTTCACTGTGGTGACCCCTGAAGAAGGGAGCAGCCGAAAGAAAAACTGTTTGGTTGTGGTCTGGTTTTGCTGCCGACACCTGTAATAGAAGCCTTTAGCTGTTTAGCAGCATGTTACGGTAACATTTTTCATTTGATCTTGAAGAAAGCTGCGTTTTCTCTGCAGCTTCTGCCTGAACCTGTGAGTCGGTCACAAACGGAGCATTGTTCGTTTATTGACGGCTGTTTTTTCAGTCAACTCTTCACAGCTTTTTCTGGCTTTTTTATACAGTTGATTTACATTTTTGCCACAATTCTCTGTGCGAGTGGTTGTACTGCTGATGGTCGTTCCATCCTCCTCTTTAGAAGATGAGGAAGATGTTGCTCCAGTTTGTGGAGGTGAAAAGCTGCAGCAGCAGAATTGGCTCTAAGCTGAGATCACCCATCGAGGGTTGAAACAGAGTCTTTGTGCAGCTTGTTTCTTCACATTTGCTGCATTCTCCAGTAAACCCAGACGTGTTATTTATAACGTGAGGGGAATTATTTATGAAGTTTAGTGGTACCATTTTATTGGTCTGTTCAAATAAAAACTTTCAAAAGACTGGGGAGGCAATTACTAAGTAAATGCTATAAAGTTTGTCTCTTTAGTAGATAACTGACTAAATGAGGCAGACCTTTGAATCTGAATCGTACTGTAAGATATTTAAAAACGTGTGTGTGTTTCTAGAATATGGGTTCCTGGCAGGTAGGGTGTAGGAAAGAGGACGACGATGCTGGCTGTCTTACTGTCTGCTCGCTCACTGGACTGTTGAGTTTGTCTGCTTGGCACTTTGCAGGCACCTGTAACACACACACACACACACACACAGTAGGAATGTCCTCTCTGCTCTGAGTTGTGAATCATCTGGGCTCTCACAAAGATCTCCTGGTGCGATACAATCTTTATTATTTAATATAAATTGGGCTGTTTGTTTCTCGCCTGAGCCGTACAGATTTCAGCTGAAGTTCAGCTGTTCTTCCCTGCTGGTATCGTATCTGACGGCACTGATTTCACATCAAATTCATTCCAGCTGCAGCTTATTTAGATATTTTTTAATGAATATTCTGAAATAGGGCTGTTAATGTTGTTTCTTTAAGTCATCATCTTACAAAGTTTGGTTTCACAGCAGAGGAGCTTTGAAGAGCAGAGAAAGTGATTGTCACATCTCAGAGATGCTGACGGAGCTCGATACAGATGGACTCTGTTGGCTTTTGTCCGTCAGTGGATGTCGTCGTTAGAACGTCGTCTTGCTCCTTTTGGGTCAGCAAATGTCCTCAGATGCTGGGAATCAAATTATTTAAGTCATTTCTTTAAAACGTGGAAAATAAAACAAAATTAAATTAAAAAATCTCCAAATTACTCCCAAACCCGTGCTCGGCTTCTGCATGAAGATGTTTTAAGTTGCAGGTTTTTTGCTCTCCGGATGCAAAGCAACACTTTTGTTCCCGTCTGTCTGTAATAATCTACGACTGATTAACGATTGGAGCCAGAATAATTCAAGATGGCCACCACAGACACAGCTGTAACACTAATTTACAGAAGTGACGTTTGAGTTGGTAGCTGAGAGTCGTTGCTCAGAGCAAGATGCAGCTGTGGTGGCCATTTTGAATTAAAACTGTCACGACGGGCGGTGGCTGATATTAAGCTTTTTATTTTCTTGGTACAGTATTTGGACACTTTTTCCTTTTCTCTAAAACAGTCTTCACATCAATGCGTAATATCAAACCAAAAACACTTCCCGCATTTGATTTTATTGTTTTCATGTTTGGTTATTTTTCACATTTTCAGGCTGTTGGGGAATTGTTTGTTCGGTTCAGACCGGATTTGTAATTTTCAGTGTATCAGGTCTGTCAGCGCAATCATCCTCACAATGATCAGATGGAAAAGGAGTTTGATTTCTTCAAAACAGCTCAGAGTCTGTGTGGAAACGAGCCGAAGGAAGCTGAACCTTTCAGTTCTGCAACTCGGTTTAGAAAAACTCATTTCAGTGGTTTTATTAATTTTTTTAACTACGGTGATATTCTTGGAGAGGGCTTGTTCATGTCGGAGCAGAAAGTCTGTGGGTTTGGGACAGTTTAGGGGTGTCGAGCTCAGTTACTGAAAGGAACCAAAATTTAAAAACTCTGTCCGAGCCACGGGCCGCTTTCAGCTGATACATCAACTCGAGTCAGATACAGAGTCGAGTTTGATCCGTCTCATTTGCTCTTTCCACATCAGAATCAATAATGACAGAATGATCCAGGAGTCTTTCTGGCTTCAGTTATCCAGCTGGCAAGAGAAGTCTACACTAAATTATGTATATCAGGGTTTTCTTTAAAGAAAAAAAATATACAATATTTTAAATTTAAATTGGGGAACCAGATTTAACCCGTGGCTCTTGAGTTTGACACATGTGGAAGTCTTTTTGTTTGGGATTACAGAAGTTTGGGTTAAAACCATGGTGAGTTTAACGACTGCCCGAATGTGAGCACAGCTTCACAATTTTAAAGACTTTCTGACTCGTTCAAAGCCTGTAAATAATTTTAGATTTGCCATGTTTACTGCTCTGCAAACTGATTTTGTTTAAATGCTTTTTTTTTTTCTGGCCTGATATAAATTGTAGATTTTGCTAAATTTTCTATCACACTGTTTTACTGTGAATATGGTATTTCTAGAGCATTTTTGGCATGCCACCTTACAGCGTTTTATTTAAAACCAAACATTTTTAGGAGTTAATCCTGCTTTACTTAACATAAAAAACAACTTATTTCGTTGTGGATTTGTCTTTATTTATTAATTTCTTTTATTTAGAGCAGAAGGAATTGTCTTTTATATTCCTAAATAAACTGTGGATTGAAACTTATATTTGATGTCTGCGGTTTGTTTTCTCGTTGCGCTCGGATCTAGTGAGAAGGAACGGATCAGTCAGCTGCAGGTGGAAGATGAAGGTTGTTTTGCTCCAAGAACTGACAAAAATACTCCTTTGCTGTGGCACTTTACATATACTTTTATGTTTTCGTAATATAGCAAGTTTACAGAAGAAAAAGCTAAAATATAAATGAAATATGTTTTTCAGAAATAAAAATGTAAAAACAAATTACACGGTGTAAACCTCTGTATCTTGGAACTTCTTTCCAAAGGAAACCTGCAGTTGTGGCTCCTTCTCTTCCAAAAGTACTTTGACCTGAACCTGAAGCTCCATCAGAGGCTTCAGTGCCCACATGTGTCCCGACATGTTTAGATGCATCTTAAATGAAAAAATAAAAGTGCAAATGCAGCCTTAACAGGTTAAACTTTTTCTTTGTTTTAGATCCAAACATTTCCCAAAGTCCTACGTGATTATTTCAAAGGGCTTGTTTAACCTGATCACAATCTTCACATTTATTAATGTTTGACATTTTGGCTCAATAAGAGTAAAACTGCTGACTGGCTCTGATTTACTGCCACTTCTCAGTAGCTGCATTTGCACATTACATCCTGCATATCTAGGCACATTCATACAAATAATGATTGTTAAAAAATATTTTTTCCTCTTCAACAGAACTCTGTGAAACCAAATCTCCTCCAAAAATAGCTCCCGTCTCACTGAATCCCATCCATCAAAGGATTTTTCAGTGAACTTTTCACGTCTGTCCCCTGAACGAAGGCATCAGAAGTACTTTTCTCTGCTTCGTTCCCATCAGTCCTCATGTTTGGCATTCCATTCAAAGCAAACAATCTAAAGTACAGGATCATATTTACCAAAGGGTCGAAGGCTATACGATGCTCATAAAGTTATCATAAGATTCTGAAATACAACAGGTTAAACATGGAGGTTTTATGCAAGTATGATGGCTTTGTCTCTGCGCAGTGAAGCTGCACAAGCAGATGCTGATCTGGAATCAGTTTCATGGTCCAGTGCCAGACGGCAACAAAAGCTTCACTTTCAGGGTCTCCAGCAGCGGGAGGTTTAGAATGTGATCTGTTGTTTGAGGCCTTTCTGCAGGACGGACAGCTCCTCGATCAGACGTTTGAAGGAGATTCTCTTATCGGGTGCGTGCTCCCAGCACTTCTTCATCAGCTCGTACACCTGCAAACGTGGACTCTGTTAGTGCGCTGCTGCTCGGGGCGCAAGTATGAAACTGGTTGAAATTAGTTGGATCTAAAACATTTTCAGTAATGTTTTTAGCGTTTCTGTTGTGATGAGTTACTCACATGCTCAGGACAATCGTCAGGGCAAGGCAACCTCTTTCCATCCTGCAGCACTCTCACCAGATGGATAAGAGTCATATTACCTTGAGTTTTACCCATAATTTCCATGAAGCGCTGTGGAGGTGAAAACAAAGGCAACAAATCAAACGGCTGCTCCGTCTTAAAAGACAGTTTGTGAGTGTAAGAACCTTTGAAAGCTCTTTCAAACAATAGATCGGGGTGCCCAACACGTTGGTCGCAATCTACCGGTAGATCGCATGGCATTAAAAATATAGACGTCAGCCTATCGTCCATCCTCACTATGAAATTTGTCACTTGATTGACATACAGGGCAGCCAGTCTGAGGCCCCGTTCACACGACGTGAAACTGCAGCTTTTCTGCTGCGGTTCGACCGTTCATTTACAAAACAGCCCTCGTTCTCTCTGAAACCGAAGGTTTCTGAATCGGGGAACCCCCCACGGTGTGAGATGCTCCGCAAGTGTAAAGCTCAACATGCGCACTACAGTCGGCTGCAGTCCAAAGTTTTTCTGCACTAACAACAGTTATAATAAACGGCAGAAAGCAAAGTGTTATTTGTGCTGCTCACCCTTTTTCAGCATGTAGCAGCAAAACTAAGAAAACCAGTTCCAAAGAGACGTTGGTGTATTCACCAGTTTGGATGTAACGGTCATGCAGACGCTGCATGTGCAATGAATGCAGCCGAGTCCAGGATCAGGGTTGCCAGATAAATTTTAAAATCTCTTATTTACTCCCTCCTTTTCTGTGCACATGTTCATCAACCACACTAGAGCTGTCATTTCTAACACGGGCCCGAAGCCCGCCCCGATAACGTGCTGGATGGGCGGGCTGGGCCGGTGTCGGCTTTTGATTGGGTCAGTGGAACAGCCGCAATCCAATTATATGATAACATGGCCTGCCATACCTTCACCAAGCATTTCACCATGAGCTGCCCAGTCTTGAAAGAGTTAAAAAGTTCAGTTAAGCCTCAGATGAGACTATACTGCCAGGAAGCGATCCATCGCCCAACAGGAGGTTCATTCATTTGCTGCACTCAGTGGACGCACTCAGTGGACGCACTCAGTGGACGCGCGCAGCCAACGACCCAAACAGATGAGATCCCAAACCAGACGTGTCAGAGCTGTCCGTGTCTGAATTATGCAGAACGAGGGCAGAAACAGGGTTTAAATGCTCTTTGACGGCCATGAAAGCACAAACACCCCATCGGCTTCGATATTCTGCACCTTTTATTCAGCCGCGTGTCCCCGATCATTTATAACTAATTAAAAATATTGAGGGGGGGTTCCAGGTTTGGACCTGTAATTACTGTTGATTCGTCGGGTCAGGTGGGGTTAGAAAATGATGCTGGGGCCGGGTCGGATATTTTGGGACCGAATGCAACTCTAACACACACCTCATCTTGGAATATCTTTACTCCGCAGTCAGCATATTTGACAGTTTAGGTCAAAATACTATCATTTTAAAGCAACAGTACTATAATTCATTTCTCATCTGGCAACCCAACTGATATTGAAACTACAGCGTTTTTTTGTGTAAACCCGCTCATTTTTTGTTTATTCCCTCCAATAAACATTGAAAAAACACGAACGTTTCCAGAGGTTGTTCTTGTGTAAACAGGGCCTTATAGTAGGTAGATCACTTCGACTTGTTCATTTTAAAAGCAGCTCGTATGTTGGAAAAAGTGTGGGCACCCCTGAAAAAGATAACTTCCATCTCTTGAGGACGAATGGTCAAAACATTAACTGTGCTGTAAATGTCAAGAGGAAGAAGCACTCGGTTCACATCTGAACGATTAACGGTACCTATTTTTAACCTTTAAAAACTTTTTTTTAAATAGAGAAATTGACAACTGGTGAAATCCAGAGATTTTCAGGATAATTTTTGATGGATTTTTATTGGCCTGCCAGCTTCCTGTTTCTCTTTTCATCTCTGTGCTATGAATACTAAATTTTAAAAAATCCCATGACTTTCAGAGAACCCTTTGAACTGTTTGGTCCTAATGTTAGAGTGCATAAAAAATATTTTCATCAATGTCAGGTCCTTATTACTTATGGCTCAATTAAAGCCTGATGTAAAAAACAGCTCTTCATTATGCTCCAATCTGCCAGTGTTGGCACATGCTATTATTAGGAACGCTCCAAACAAAACATGTCATCTGCTTCTTTGGCTAAAAACCCGACACCATCTGCTACCTACAAAAGACTGTTCAACCAAGTGAATGTGAATATAAAAGCATTTATTGTACATTAAATCCTAAAAGATATACTAGGACAAAGAAGGTTTTGAAAATGTGAGATGTGACTGACCGTCATCGGGCTCTTGGAGGAGTCGCAGTAGGTGATGATTTCATACATCGTCACCCCAAAGGACCAAACATCCGAAGCCAGGTAAAACTTACAGGAGGTCAGACACTCTGGTGCATACCTGAAACACAAAACCACAGCGTCAGCGGGCGAACAACCAACATTTCCGATCCAACAAATCGCTCTATTTTAATAAAGAGAAAAGTATTTTTTTCTTAAGAAAACCCTTTTAGTGTTGATATTTTAAGCGTTTAATCTCGGATTTTAAAGTAAAAACAATGTGAAATAAACCTTTATCGGTAGATAATCCCAAATTATAATTGTTCTGTAAGAAAAAGGAACTGATCTGCAGCTGCACAGAAGATCCTTTTAACTCACTGATTTTAAATCTACTCGTGAAGCAGGTGAATCTTTATTTCTATAGCACATTTTCAAACCAAAGTTCCAAATAAGACGATAAGAAATATTGGTTGTCATCTTTGAGTACATAAGTTTCCACCAGTCTCTCCGTCTAGACTCACCAGAAAACTGGGCTTTCGTTTTCATCCTTAACGGTGTAATATCCCTCGTTGTCTTTGATGCTCTTGGTGAGGCCAAAATCTCCGATCTTCACCGTCGTCTCATTTTCCACCAGAACGTTTCGAGCGGCCAGATCCCGATGGATAAAGTTACAAGATCCCAAATAGTCCATGCCCTGAAATTCAAATAAAAAATAACAAGCTCAAGCTTCAGTAACACGAAAGAGAAACGCGTATGATGACGGCTCTATTACCTCACATATCTGGCTACAGTAGCTGAGCAGAACGCTGAGGTCAATGTTCCTTTTGTTTCTGGGTAGATACTCCTTCAAGCTGCCCTGGGGTAGATACTCCATGATCAGCTTAATGGCCTGACCACCTGAAACATTTATTTCAGATGAACAAGGAGTCGACATGAAGCATTCCATGTGCCTGTCGGCTACAGTTTAGTTTTCGTTTGTTATTTTTTCTTTTGTTGTCGTACAAAACAAAACGTAGCTCGTGTGGAACTTGGGAACCTAAAGTGTTTGAATGCAATGGATTTCAAAGCCGGTGCATTAACAGGTGTCAGCGTTTTCACCACATTATTATTATTATTATTATTACAGCCAAAACAAGGTTTAAACTTATTTAACACTCAAGTTGTAATTTGTCAAAAGTAAGACATCTTAAAAAAGTGATCTGAAACAGCAATCGTCAACCAAAATCAACCAACCGACCTTTACCAAAAGGAACGAATGACACAGAAGGTTTTGAACACAAGTCCGAATCATTAAAGTGACTCAGGGTTGAAACTGAACTTGGATCTGATCTGAACTAAAACACATTCTGCTCCGATTCAGTAAAACATTGCAGGAGTTAGTGAGCGTGTCTGTGCATGCATGTTGGTTTACCTTCTTCTTGACAGATGCCTTTGTATTTAACAATGTTCTTGTGGTAAAGAGCCTTCAGGATTTCAATCTCTCGAGAAAGGTTGTTGCTCTGCTCCTCCCGGTTCTCAGGTTTCAGAGACTTTACCGCCACCGTTTCACCTGTTCTGTCTCCACGAGGATCATAAAGGCACAGCTCCACTTTCCCAAAGTGTCCCTATGTGGAGAACATAAAACGTTTTAATGAAAAGGCACATTACCGACATCTGTTGAGCGGAATTTACTACTGTTCCTTAATGCAACATTCTGAAATTAATCTTGTGCTATTTTCTAGGACCATTTTAGAGGAAGAAGTGGGAGTAGTAGCTGCAGGGAGTGGTTTTCATCCAAGTAAAAATGTCACAGTGAGCGAACTCGCATGAAAGATTTGGCAATTGTTTTACTTCCTGACACAACCTGGGCTCGAACCATCAACCTCAGGAATACAAGGCCATGGCACAGACCACCAAGCTACCACAGCTCATTTTCATCAAGGTGCTCATGATAAAAATAAAAAAAAATGCATAAAATAAAATCCCAGAAAAACAAACATTCACCAAACACCAATAATAACTGCATAGTCAAACTATTCTGTTTGTCCCTGCAAAATGTTAAACAGAAACAAACACAAAAGAAATAAAATACAATAATAATAATAATAATAATAAAACCACAAACATCAGTTTACCTCTCCCAGTTCTCTGATCTTCTTTAGGAATCTTTTTTCAAACACAGTTGGGTCTTCCTCGGTTTTAACGGGGGGTTTGATATGAAGGTCTGAGAGATGGAAGGACAAGAAAATATATATAATATACACATTTAGCAAGGTGGGTAAAATCTGTATTTTCTTCAACAAATGCGTCATAGGAAGTCAACTGTGGTTGGAAGTGTGAAGGTAAGAGTGGAGAGTGCTGTGGTTATGCAACTGTTTCCACTGGTTTACAAAAAGAAGCTACTTTATTAGGACAACTAATGTTTTTAAAACTGTTTTCAAGCCTTTTAGCCTTTTTCTCTGGACCCAATGCACCTTGGAGGCATTTAAAAATGATTTTAAAGAATGGAAAAATGTGATGTGGCGAACTAAAACTGGCTGCAGTGTCTAAATCTGGCCAGTAGATGGAAGAATGAGGACTATTTGCTGTGAGGCCCAGACGAGGGGCAGATCACTGATGATGTACTCGCTGAACTTCCTCATGAAGATCTGAAGAGAAAAACAACTTTCTATTTGAGGCTGCAGCTACGTGACACGCAAAACTTGCAGAACATTCAGGTCATTTTGCAAACATCAACAAAGTTTACACAATGTTTGATCCACAGTTCTGTGGATAATTTAGTTTTAGCTTTTTTTGTTTTGTTTTACTTTCTCTGATCTTATCGCATTGGTAAAAAAAAAACAGCTGAAACTAGAAACTGATGTTTTGATGTGTAACCTTTTCTTTGCAACCTCTTATCCACAAACCCGTCTTCACACATACCTAGGATTTTATTTCCAATCATCTCCAGGTCCCTGACGATGGCCCTGAAGAAAGGTCTCTTCTTGGGGTTGTAGTTCATGCACTGAGTCATGAGCTTAGCGAGCTCTGTATAGTCTGGGGTGGCCAGCTGGCATTCCTTCTCATAAAACCTCTCCTTCTGCTCAGAACAGACATGAAGACAAGATGTCAGATTAAGAAAGTGCAGGAAAACAAAATTGTGATTTACCGTGTATTTCGGACTAAGGCGCATTAAGTGAAACAAGTTCATTTTGACAGATTGTCGAGCGCCGTGTACCACATAAAATCAGTTCAAGGTCAGTAAGCACAACCAGAACGAATACATAAGGTGCACCGGATTATAAGGCTCACTGTCGATTTTTGAGAAAATTTAAGGATTTTAGGTGCGCCTTATAGTCCGGAAAAATACGGTAGGTGGATAGCGGTGGGTGGGTTTAAAGAAGAATAAATTAAAGCAAAGTGATTTCAGTGATTTTTTTTTTGTTTGTTTGTTTGCGTGGGATCTCTACCTCTGTCAGTTTTTTTTCTTTGAGGGGAACTTCTCCATCAAAGCAGATCTCCCACAGGGTTGTACCAAATCCCCATTTATCAGCTGCCACGCTGAGGGATGACACATCCTTCACACACTCTGGGGCTATCCACGGGACACGATGAACTCGCTCTGCAAGGATACAGTCACACATGACTCAGGTCCGACAGATTTTACTCGAAGGTTCTCACATGAAACACTCGCAGGAGTGTTAACCGTTTTCAGCTTTACAAAATAGAAATCATGGTTTGGTGTTAACAATTAGCTGTGGAAGTTTATTAAATAAAACATTTTTTAAGTGAGGTAGTTACAAAAGAAGTCAGACGTAGAAGTTCTTGAGATTACCATGTCATGCCTGTCAGCGATGTCAAGCATTAAAGCTAGTCAGGGTGGAGTTGTGACATTAGTCAGATATTCTGGTCGTAACACTTCCTTGCTTAAAGTTTCCTTTGTCGCTCTGACTGCGTTATAATGCACAGCTTCAGAACACATCGAGTGAAACTCACTAAACGAGGTTCTAGCCACATAAACAAATGACGGTTCTCACACTATTACAAGAAACACGTGACTTTTGGTTTGCACGTTCCTCGTATCTTAGGGAGTACACCAAAACAGACCACGTCACTTTAAGACGTGACAATGTGTGTGTCACCATAAAACATTGCATTTGTAAAACGAAAATTGAAGTTAATCAGCATAAACTAGTTCTTTTGTTTCGTCTTCCTGAAACGTGGCATCAAATATTAGATTTCAAACTAGTATTTTTCTTAGATTTGTATATTTTAGATCTTACTGCTCTAGAGGAGGATCTTTATTGTTAATGGGAACTGAAACTGGTGGGAACTGTTTTGGGCTGTGCACTAAGGGTGTGGAGCTTTAAGTCCCGCCTACTTCCCCGTACCCAATCCAGGTGTCACATGACCAATCTCTTAAACATAAAATATTTTATACAGTATTTAAAAAAAAAAAAAATTAAAGGTCATTTAAACATACAGCAGCAAGGTAAGAACATTAATCAATAAGAATCAATACCAGAGATTCTAAGTTGTTATTTTATTTTAATTTTTAAATGGGCAATGCTTTGTTTGTTGTGAAACATAAAACATGTACTGGAACCAGCCTGCAGGAAAGCTAGTCCTGATCCAGGTTCAAATTCTGGGTTCTGGTCTTATAACTTAGAAAGTACTATGATTGTATTTATTTTATTTTTTTGGTGTATTTGTTCTTATTCTGACCATCGACAGGTCTACAGCAGTAAGTTGATTATTATTGTACATAATGTGGAGCCTGTAGGGTTTTACAAAAAAACATCTTGATTTCCTTGTAAATAAATAAATAAATAAGTAAGTAAATAAATAAATAGCTCAAAACATCCTGTCATACGTTTGTAGTTAATAATTCACACTGTGGAGTGGCTCTAGGGCAGATGTTTTGTGTGGGAAAAGAAAAAGTATAATTCACTAAACAAATGCTGGTAAAACAACATCTCATTGTGGAACCTAATTAACGTGAAGCTACAAATTCTCATTGCGCTCCAAAACCAGGCACGGACAGTAAATCAGAGCTGCTGTGGACTGGCCGTACCTGGCAGGAATACATCACTCTGACTGGAAGACAAATTAACCGATTGGCTGACCTCTACGGCTGGCTTTTTAGCTCCACAGATCCATAACATCAAATGAAGGGACACATGCAGGCAAGTAATGGGGGGGCTAGAAAGACTCAGTGAGAGCTAAGTAGACAGAAATGAGAGATGGAATAGAGTGTGAAGACCACAAAAAAAAAAAAAAAAAAAAACGAGTGAAAATGAAGAATAGATGTAAGGGAATAAAACAATCAGATTGCTGGGAAGTAGGGAAGAGTGCTCCCGAAGGGTTTCTAAGCACTTTATGGCCTGTGTTCAATCAAATTTGTGTACAAGAACATTGGTGTGTAACGGGAAGGCCAGCTGATCAGCAAAGTGATAGAGGCAAAAGAAATGCTAAAAATTTCTGAGAATAAAAAGCATGGACGGGGTATTCCCATGAGCATGTGGAAGGAAACATTTCTACTGAAACGTTTCCAGTTTGTCTTGTGGTTTGCTGCATCCATCTGCACAGCAACACAGGCTTAAACCAAACAACCGCTCACTGGACTGAAGGGGAAAAAAGAAACGTGAAGCTGCCATGCACGGGGAAATGTAAAATTTGAGACGTCTCGTGTCGCCTTCTCTAAACTCACATCAAGCTTTCACTAACCAAGTTACAGTCTCAGGCGGAAATGTGCCCACTGCAATGTTTAACGATTATGTGACGAATGAGATTCATATTAACGACGATCGTTGTTTGATCGGAAACGTCTTTTCTCACTCTCTCTCCGTGTATTGTGCGGGAGCGACTTAGACAGAGCTGGGCGATATGGACCTAAATTAATTTTTCGATATTTAAAGATAAATTGCGATATACGATATATATTTTTTAAAAATTATTTCCATAAAGTAAAAACAATATATATTTTTGAGTCAAAGCTTTTTCCCAGTTGTCACACAGGCACATTTATTAACAACAGCTGTAACTGTACAAAATAAATGTCTACAAAATAAACTGTTTACATACATTAGTTTATTTTTTAGACATTTATTTACATATATTAAATAATAATCCTCTTCAGCTGGGGGCAGCTGTGGCTGAAAGGCTAGAGTAGTCGTCCTCCAATGGGAGAGTTGGGGGTTCGATTCCACAGGAAGTCACATGCTGAAGTGTCCCTGTGCAAGACACTGAACCCCTCCTTGCCTCCGATGTGTGTCCCATTAGTGTACGAATGTGATAAAGCTCTGATTATTCTTTGTATAGATCTAGTAGAGTGCTGTAGTGTAAAGAACTTTGAGTATCTTGATAAGATAGAAAGGAGCGCCTCAGCTACGCCGCCTTCACGTTAGTAAGCGTGTGAACTGCAGCTGCAGGTCCGACAGACCTCTGCCTCCTTCCCTGAAATAAACCACGGGTCAGAGCTCAATTAGCCGTGCTGTGCCTTATGAGAGGAACAGTGAGAGGTGGCGACATTAATTATCATATCGCTAAGACACAGTTCCAGTCTCAGCTGTGGAACAAGACGGCTAAAGCGTTAGCCGTCTTGTTAGCCACAAAGGACCTTGTCTTTAGCGATATGATAAGCTTCTGATTTATTAATGTTGCGGCGCCACCTCTCACTGTTCCTCTCAAAAGGCACAGCACGGCTAAATGAGCTGACCCGTGGTTTATTTCAGGGAAGGAGGCAGAGGTCTGTCGGACCTGCAGCTGCAGTTCACACACGCCCACTCCGCTGTTTTAAATGGTGAAAAAGATTCGTAGTTCCGACATTTTGTCGGGACTTGTTTTCAACATTGTCTACAGAAATCATCTTTCTGCCCCTCATCTGAAAATTTAAATTCAAACCATCTTTGAAAGAACAGTCATTGTTTTTCTTTTTGTTCAGCAGCTAAGATGCCGTGTTTCTCCCGTGTTTACTTGTTGTGCTAAACGTCCTGCCCACCTCCTGGGGAAGCAGGAAGGAGGGTAGCACGGCTGAGGCCTGTGTGTTTGTGTTCAAGGAGGGAGAAGAAGGGGGGCCGCATGGGAGGCAGGAGATGAATAAGAAGTACATTTTGGCATTATTAAAAGCATTGGGTTTCAGTCTGAGAGATGATTAGAAATCTGTGCTACTGCACTAAAAAGTGTGCTGATGTGTGTGCATCAAGTAGATAAATATTTATTTGAATAGCACCTTTTAAAACTAAAGTTACAATGTGCAATACATGTACAGTACATCAAATAAAATATAAAAACTATCATAAAATTAGAATGAATGCAAAAATGCTACAATACATAGACACTGATATATTGTAAATAAATAACTAAAATAATAAACATAAAGTAGCATTCAACACCAGAGGATCTGTGTTTTGAACCTGTATGCTCCACACTGGTTTGTATTTATTATCGTATTTATTTCTATATTTCTGATTTACTTCATTTTGTATTTTGCTTTGTTCGTTACCTGTTGTTCTGTCTGTACAGCACTTTGGTTGGCCTTGTCGCTGTTTTAAGTGCTCTATAAATAAAATGGTATGGTATAAAAGCATCCTAAATAGAGAGAAGTTTCTTAAATGAGAAAGAAGAACAACTTGGAAGCCTAGCTCAGAAGATCTTAGGTGTGCAGAAAAGTTCAAGGGGTTAAGAGTTCACTGATGTACGCAGAAATTTGTTTCATGTTCGGCTTTTAACCGGAACTCGTAGGTCTGAACATATTACGCCAGTTCTGTCCTCCCTTCACTGGCTCCCTGTTCGTACGAGGATAGTCTTTAAAATTCTTCTGTTCACCTTCAAATGCCTAAATGGCCTCGCACCCCTTTACCTCTCTGAGCTTCTGGAACCTTACGTTCCCTCTCGGGCCCTGAGATCATCTGATCAGTGGCTTTTGGCTGTTCCAAAAACAAGACTGAAGCTCAGAGGAGATCGGGCTTTTTCAGTCATGGGCCCCAAACTCTAACAACCTGCCCCCCAACATCAGGAAGGCCACCTCCCTTCCTCACTTCAAATCCCTGTTAAAACACATCTGTTCTCACAGACATTTCACACAGTGTAAATTGATCTAGTGTTTTTTTTAATCTGTGACCCTATGTTTTAAATGCTTTTTTATTAATTCTTCAGTTATTATTATTAGTGTATTGTGTATATATATTTTTTTCTCTCTTTCATTTTACTCATTGATTGTTGTTGTTGTTGAGCACTTTGATAACAGGTTCTGTTTTAAATGTGCTCTATAAATAAAGTCGACTTGACTTATGTTTTGTAATCCAAAAGATGGAGTTTAATTAATTTGACTGAAAGCCAGTGTAGGTAGACGATGTTTATCAGAGTCAGAGTCAGAGTTTCTTTATTGTCATTCGCACCTCATGTGGTACATGTGGTGGAGCGAAATTATGTACACAGGGTCCCAGTTACATCCAACAATAAAATGTATAAGAAAAACAGTAACATCTAAGATATGAACTAAGAAAAACATCAACTAAATATACACTAAGCACTCATAACATAAAACATTGAACATCACCACAAACATGAACATGAGTCTGTGATCCTTGGTGTTTTAGGTGAACATGAACATCAAATTACTTTGAAATACTGTAATACATCTGTGTTTTTTTTTTTTTTAAGGGTTTTTGGTTTTTACTTGTGCTGACAATGCATAAGGCATTGTGACATTTCCCATAACAGTTCTTTGGTAATTGTTCCATTGCACTGTGTACTTTGTACTCACCCTCCCCATTAAGTACTGTAATGGGTAGTCCCGGGTCACTGAGCTTGATAAATGGTCCTCCTTCATCTGGATCTAGTCCACCTCTGGTTAGCAAAACGTTCTTAGCACACACATAACCATGGACCATCTTTTTGTCCTCCTAAAAAACACACAAAATAAGCAAATTAAATTAAACTGATGGAATATTTCGAGGATAATAACCCATTTGTGTTCAGTACTTTGCAAAAGTATTCACCACATTTTTATAATGTTGATGACATTTTGGAGGTTTAAGTTGAAAAATGAAAAGTGATCTGAATGTGGTCACAATCTGACTTGTTGGCGTCCGTCCAGAAGAGGTTTTGGATGATTCAAAAAATGTATTATTATTTATTTAAAAAGTAATCATAAAAAGACTGTAAAACCATGCAATCCTACTAAATCAAACTCCAATTAAAATACACAATTTTGTTTACATGACGCTAAATATAAAAGAAGCTGATCATTTTTTGCAGGGCAGAAAATGTTTGTTTTTCTCTTACCAAGTAGCTGAGAGCAGAGGCGAGCTGCTCAGCCACGTGGAACTTCCAAGTTGTGTTGAGCGGACTTGGTTGTCTCTTCATAAACATGTCCAGTGGTCCCAGTTGGACAAACTCTTCTACCATGATATCTTGTGATAGAATAAACACAAATGTGATTAGCTAGAGACACACCACAGGCTTCGTCTAACAGCTCTTAATAAGCACTTACTCTCCTCCTGCCGGACGCACAGCCCATAGAACAACACAATGTGTTTGTGAGATATTTTGTGCATATTGCTGGCGGTTTCATAAAAAGCCTGCCATAAGAGAGACAAACACAGCTTAGTAATATGCACAGCAAAGTGCAAACTTTTATCTTTATTCAGATTCAGCCTTTAAGGAATTTATAGTTGTAATTGTCTCACCAAAGAAATGTCCTTGTGTTCAGAACCAAGCACTTTTAGGACCACCTTAACCTCCTGGAAAGATGTGTAACCTGCATCTTCATCTTCTTCACTCCTCACCCTCAGTGTGCCCAAGTAGATGTTGGTTTTTGTGCCTCGGCCGAGGTGCTCCTCCTGGTTAGAGTAGAAAGGCAAAGACAATGGCAAACAATCAAATAATTACATTTGATCTAAATGGCTAACATAATGTTATAAATAATAAAAGAAGAGGTACCTCCCCTCATACAGACCTTTTACATTGTCCACCCTCATTTACATAACATATAAACACCACCAAACAATCACCAAAACCCTACATCTATAAATATTTAAACTTCACAACACAGTGACCTAATACTTTTTGGCGTTGACTTCTTACTTTTTATGTAAATGGTCATGTTAAATGTGCACTGTAACTGCAAAACTACATTATAACACAGAAGAGACAATAACAGCGAAGAGAAATTGTACCTGGTCAATGTCCTCCTTAAGAATACGATGAAAGCCAACTAGTGACTGCGATGTGGATTTCTGAATCTGCGTTCTGCTTTTTGTAACCACCAGGAGGTTAGAAATTTCTGTGAAAAAAAAAAGTCTTTGTAAGCAAAACTGCATTCGTTTTTACGTGGGCATTCTGAAAAGCAAAGCCTGAGGTTCACATTTATGGTACAGCTTGATAAAACATGTCATAAAATGTGACAGTTTCCAGGGTGATGTCATTGTAAAGCTGTCAAGTGTAAACTGATTTGAAAAGTCTGTTTTGTGTTCAAGCAATAAGAATAAAAAGTGACGCCACAAGGAGCAGAAAATTACCATAAAGAAGTGAATCTGTGTTAAACTATCTTTAATAACTTCGTAATGCAACAGAAAAGTTCAGATGATAACACACACTGGCATTTGCAAAGAAGAACTGTTTATATGTGGCGAAGCAAGCTACCAACAGTTATGGCAATGTGAGTAAGTACTATTATTGTTATAAAGTACTATTTGTGACTGTTGTACATTGTGGGTTTTAGTGTTGTGACAAAACCAGTAAACTGTGGTTCAAGGGGGAAGGAGCATCTGAACTCCATCAGCATCTTCTCCAAAATCATTAAAAACAATGTTCTGTAACATGCAAGCTGGGTTTAATGCAAAAACTAAATTTGCACTAAATCTACCACTGAATGTCTTATATTATGCTGCATTGCATTCACTCTAATAAATTGACTTAATCCAGGCATAGCTTGGCAATGCACACATTTTCACTAACCTCAAACTACATCAAACTTCGTCTTTATGTTCTGGTAAGAATAGTTACACAGTCTGCACAAATCCAGGACAGCAAGAAGTCACAGCAAAACTGCACCTCAGGAAGTCAGCAGACTATACATGTGTTTTACAGTTGTCGCAAGAGTGTTGTGTAACATCCTAAATATTTTACGAGGAACAGCAAAACAGCATTTCATCTTTAATTGCCCTCTAAAGCATTTGTAGCAGATTGCACATCATCATTATGGCATTAATCAATGGCTAATATCTCTAAACAAACAAACAGCTCAACACATTCATGGTCACATGGCATAAAGCTTCTCTGCAGAAAATAAACAGAAGAGCACCAGTTTGGCTCCGGAAACCCACATTTACAACTCTCTTCCTTCCCGACACCATTACAGAGACGCTGGCAGCACTGCTTCCCTTACCCTCGTGTCAACACTCCTACGCTTTCAGAGCAGGTCAAACATACATTTTGAACTGGAGGAAAGCGTAGCTTTACACAGCTGTGAGGTTGAGACATTCAAATCTGTTACACCTTTGACCCCAACACACTTAACATGTGGGTGCATGACTTGTTACCACACCCTGTTTTAATGTTACTGAAAAACCAGTGCAGCAGAACGAGGACCTGCAAAGACTTTGGACAAAAAGGCTGCAGGCAGGGAGAAAGTGCAGCCTGTTGTGATATTTATTCTTTTCTATTGAACACAAGCTGCAAAAAACAAACGGTTTTAACACTTCTGTGTTTGGACTGCACATACATTTATGAACCTACATAAAGTTAGTCAATAAATCTTAAAAATAAATTGTTTTATTTTGATTTTCCCTCACATTTGCAAAACTTGGCATAATGATTGTTCTGCTCCGGTCAGCAAACTTGACACAGAACATACAATTATTTTACAAAAATAATATAAACTCTACCAAAGTTTTATAAATTGTATACCCTATATTGGTTTCAACGTATGTTCTTTTATTGATTTGGATACACTTTTCCTTTCCAATAAACAAAATAATATTTTTAGCACAGAAATAAATTAAGAATAGGAGTAATATGAAGGGACTTTTATTAAAATTCAAAATGTTCATTTTGAGTCAAGACAAATGGAATACTTCTTTTAAGATTATGCAGTGACAGATCCTGAATAATGGGTAAATCAAAACTGGCAAATTGATATTTAAGTTTTTTTCTTCTATAACCTTGGACAAACTAAAATAATGTAAGCTTATACAAAGCGAGTACTTCATATAAACATGTTTGTTCAGTTATTGTTTACCTAGTTAGTCGTGACTTTGTAGTATTTTTTTTGTCTTTCTCTAAGTAAAACTGTGCACATGCTTCCCGACTCTGTTGCTTACCTCTTGGCTGTGGAGGGCAGCAGCGACGCAGCTGAAACTGAAGGTTGTCGGTGCGAAGACACTGGCCTTCCAGGTGCTCTAGCAGCTCCTTTAGGGTAGGGCGCAACGTATCAGTTCCATGCAGGCGGAACCCCTTGGGGTCCACCTCAACCTGAAAGTTCTTGTATTGGTGTCCCAGAAGAGCTCTGTTGAGCTAGATGAAGACGGAAGGAAAGACTTTAAACCGATAAACTTTTAGAAAAACATGGCAACTGAAGAAAAAATGAGGAAACAGATTGAAGCTGAGCTTAAATAAAACATGATTGGGCATAATTTTATCCTGAGTGAAAAAAGTACCGTTTTACCATAAAACATGAAACGAGGACGAGCTAGACTGAACACAGAAAATTTGAGTGGATAAGGAAAAAACATCTAATAAAAAGAAAAATTACTTTTTATACATTTTATACAAAAACCTTCTATGAAAACTTTACACACTGTCAAAACAGAAACAGCATGTAAAGTTGCTTACATGCCATAAGAAACTATTTACAGCATGTAAACAACTATGTATATTGGTACAAATATCCACAGGAATAAACGAGTTCTCTGTATGAACCAAAAACCCAGAAATTTAAGTGTCAAATGAAAAAATGAAAAGGTAAATTAAAAGTTTTTTTGTAACCATTGGTAAAAGTTCCTTTGATATTAATTCTTCTCAGACATAACGGTCTTAAAATTATGCTAAATTATAATAGAAAACACATTAAATGCTGCTTTACAAACATCTAATGATCATTACCTCACAGACCACAGTGATGATGATGTTATCGTAGTCGGTGGCGCTCCAGCGCAGGAGGTAGGCACCTTCTGGATTGCCCTCGTGATGCAGTTTGTTGGTGGCATAATCCGTACTGAAGAAAAAGAAAACAAACAAAGACATTATGTCCCTTTTATTACTAGCAGCATAACTTTATAAATATAGTATACAACAGTATGTAGTATTTACAAAGCAGGAAGAAAGTTAGAATGTAGCTTGGTACTTAAAGGTTAGTAAGAATGTGGTTTATTTTACCCACAAAGCTGCTGATTACAAACCTGATTGGTCCGTGACAACCATTCTCAATATTCTGCACCACTGAGACCGGGGCCACCTCCCTGCACAGGTAGTGGTGTGCATCGACAGTCAGCCTGAAGTACCCATCAATGAGGGCAGCAAACGACAGAGCCTTCTCCCTACAGTCCATTTTCACAATCTGGAAAGAGCAACGTGCACAGTGATTATAAGAAAACATTATATTAGCATTAGCTATGGCTAAAAACATGCAGTAAGACAGAAGTTTTGTTTCAGCTGTTTCTAAACGAACCAACGTTGCAAAAAGAAGAACAGAAATGTCACTTTCTTGCTAAAGTAAAAATAAAATTAGGTGTGGCACTTAAGTGATCTGATCATGACTCTGACATTATAGCTACAGTAATAAACTGACATAGAGCAGCTGAAACAATAAATGCAGATTTTTATAAGATTTCTGCAATTTTACATTTTTTTTTTATTAAAGTTACTCTACTGTAGGAGTGTGTTGTTCAAGAGAGTTATGATACAACTAAAGTTTAAAAACATAAAACATTAAGAAGCAGATTTTATATAAAAACTCTATGGTCTACATTTGTTTGTTGGACTTACGCACCATTTTCTTGTTGTCCTGTCGTTTGATGGTGACTTCGGATTCTTTGATTACAGTATGCGTGATCTCATGAAAGTCACAGAACAAAACCCAGTCATCTTTTTCCTCTTTGTTTCTGTCATTCTTCAGTTTTCCATCCTTCTTTGACTTTCCTTTTTCTTTAGGGATCACAGGCTCCTCTTTCTAAAAAAATAAAAATAAAAAAATAAACATTTGAGAGGCAAATATATAGTTTAAGACAAGTCTGCTTGTTCTGATTAGGAAACTACCAATTAGGAGATAGTTCATCCAATTGTTTGTTAGTAATAATTTACTTGTGAATCTAGGAACTCTATGAGTTTTAGTTCTCAAACTGTTTTACTCACGGGTGTCTTCCTCCAGGAAATGCCAGTGACACCATTGATAAGAACCTGCATGTTCCTGCTTGTCTCCAAGTTCTGACTCTGCTCTTGGCTCTGATTGTAGTAGCCTGGACACGGTGAGCAAACATTATATCAATGCATTTCTACAGAAAGACAAGACTTTTCATGTAGACTGCTAACAAAATATTTTACTTACTAATATTGCTTTTAAACAATATTGTGAAAGGAATTATGACTAACAATTATTTTGTTTCCAAACAGAAATCTGATCCGTTTGTCGAACACATGATCAACAGTGTCATACACTGTTTGAAATCTTTGCATATTAAAATCACCCCGAGTTTTGTGAACTATAAAAACTTTGGGTGATTTTAAAATATTTTATAAAGTATAAACAGATTATGTGCATTACTTTTGCTTTTAGCACAAAGTAGAAAAGTTTGTAGGAATATCAACCGAAAAAATTTGTTTTGACCTTTATAACTTTTTTGCAGTTTTAGATCTTTTTTTTTGTACGCAAGGCACAGTTTCATTTTCTAAGACTTATTGTAAATAGGAAGGTGGATTAGAAAGTCCAAAGAAAACCATAAGGATGAACAGATTTTCAGAATCAACTAGAGAAAAGAATTACATTATTTATTTATTTGTTTTTTTTTTTAAACAAAGAGCCTGTTAGCAGGGGGAAATGGCTGGTCAAACAAATAGCTGGGCATTATTGGAATAATGTAGCTAAAAATGTAGCATTCTGAAAATAGAACCTAGAAAGAACAAATAAATTATAAACTGATAGCAACGAGAATTAGGCCTTGGGGAACACCACTGGTAACTGGAATGTGTTACAACTTGAAATAATTACCTTCAAGAAACTAAGTGGAACCTAAGTGGTGTTACATGAACCCTATTAGTAGTTAAAATTATAAAGATATAGTATTCTATACAATATTTAATAAATATTCCCATGTCATCTGAATTCTTACCATTGCAGAGCTCCTCCTCTTGCAATACACTGAGTGTGTCTGGCTCAAAGAGCTCACTACCAAAGGTGCTGGTCAACCCCTCCAGTGTGGCCAAGTACTTGATTTTCAGGTCATAGGTTCTGATGTTGCTCTTCTTGACAGTGTTGCCATTGAATTCACTGAGGAATTTCTTGAACACGTTGTTGATACGGATCCGTGTGAGAATGTTGCGCTGCTTAATTTCGGCATTCAGGCACTCTGGGATGTATTGTTTGTAACTGGAGGCATAAGAACAGAAACATTTTTAACTTAATTAGGAATTTTGCTATTCTTTCTTGTACAGGAATGCAGCAGATGGGGATTAAGAAGCATCAGTGTGTAAAGTTTGTCATAAAATATTTGTGGAATAAATAAATAAAAAGGTATAACATGTACAACATACCAACTAGGGGTGTAACAATACATCAATTTACATCGATATATCAATTAAATGATTAATGAATCAATTATATCGTGGCAAAATTAAAACATTGATTCATATTGTCATCTTTAAAATACGCTTTCATTTTGAAATCTCCAAGGCACGTCTGTGTCACCATTTCCGTGCGCGGCTGCGCTCTGCGGCCGCCTCAGCAACATGGCAGACGAGGCAGAAAACACAGATAATGAAATTCACTCTCCTGCTGGATTTAAATCAACACTGTGGAAATATTTTGGATTCCAGCAGAAGGACAGCTCAACAGACAAAACTCATCCGTATGCAACAGGTGCCAGGTGTGAGTTCAAATACTCGAGGAAACAACAAATTTGGCCGTTCACCTAAAGAAGAAACACGGTATTGATAGCCATGTTATGTAAGCTCAATATTTATTTTTGTTTCTTTATAAGTGAAAGGTCATCAGGACACTTTTAAGTTAACTGGTTTAAAAAATGCATTTAAACATGAGAAATGTGAGACTATACTGAACAGGTTGTTTATTATTGTTGTTTTTTTTTCATTAATTAAGAAAAAATGTTTTTTTATTTAAATGCCTGGTGCCTGTAATAACAGAAATAAAATGGTTAAATCATATTTGAATTGTTGTTGTAAATGTATTTATATGTAAATGAGATGGGCATTTGATATCGCAATATATCAATCGCAGACTTGTGAATTGAATAGAATCGAAATCGCATCGTGACAGACTTTGTGATATCGAGAAAAAACATCTTCATACAAACAAATCAATATATCGTATTGTGGTAAAGCTGGTGATTTACACCCCTAATACCAACATACATTTGCTCTCTAACTGAAGTCAGTAGTTTGAGTTTCCCTGACACTGATCTGAATTAAAACACACTGGGTATATAGATTTTATACCCAACATGTCAATATAATAACTTAATATAATTTATACTGCCTTTACTATTGCATGTTATACTGGATAATGTTTTTTCCCCCCACACTTAATGAATACAAGTTTTGTTTGAAATATATAAATGCAAGATTATTAGAAAATAAATCACCCCAAAAGATGTTGTATTGTAAGTGTTTGAACATTTGTTATGCGTTACCTGACTTCATGGGTAACAGTTCGCAGGGGCACTCTCCTGTACATGGCATGGTGAGTGATAGCAAGCACGGCCATGCCCAAACATTCATTCTCTATCTCATGTTGCTCTGAATCAGACCGAGCCTTTCTTAATGGCACTCTGCCAGTCTGAAAGTCATGCTGGCCCTGTACAAAAACAAATACAGAATAGTAGAAAACTAGACATGATCAACAAAACCTGTTAAACAACAAAATAGACATAGTATAAACTGCATGTGAGGCAGTGAAGTGGTTAACACGGTCACCTTCAAAAATAAAAAGTCATGTTTGAAGTGTCTATCACAGGAGTCTGACGTTTCCCTGTGTAAAATTTCTATAGGTTTTCCACATTTTTCCTTCAGTTCAATAACATACTTGTTAAGTTAACTGGACGTTCTAATTGAAAGTGCAAACCCACATCATTTGTTTGTTTGTTTGCTTCAGGGTTTTTTTCGTCAGTGATAAACCAGCAGCAGTCTAAGAAGCAGCTTTTATTGAGCTTGCAACCCGTTTCTTCCAAGAAAAAAATTAATGTGCTGACATAACTGTAAAAACAACAACAAAAAAAAATTAAAAATGTTGAATTTATTCAGTTAGAAGGCCTTATTTTATAAATAAAAAGGTAAGAAGAAAATGTTGTGAGGGAAACTTTAAGACTGGCCCTTAATTTTTTAAGGATCTAAACCTTCGAATAAACATTTGAAAATGTAAAAACATGAAACATATTTGAGTGGATCAACCCCATCTTTCTATTGGTAATTACTAATTTTGTTTTAATGTTTTCAATTAAAAAAAAAGATAATTTTCTTTGCCTCTACAGGATATCTTGAAAACATTAATGAAACATGAGCCTGACATAAGACTAGAAAAGCAAAAGCATGTAATATTGCATCGCGTTTGAACTGGAACAAACAAAAAAAGAAGAGTATCTACATTTTTGTGCATTTCCTTCTTACACAACAGTAAGGACATCAATGTCAAAGCAATACATAAAGTATATTAAAAATGTCACATGCATGATCGCTGTTGTGGAGCTGCAAACACACACCTGGTCAAACAGATAATCCAGAGAGCCCATGTCAAGTAGTGGTGCTCCCTCTAATATTTTTTCCTGATTTTGTCCTCTGATCTTACTGGGGTGGTATCTCCAAACTGGTGACTCTCCCTCTATGATGCCATGCCAGTTTCTGAAATAAAATCTTACAGAGAGAAAAAAGCAACAAGTTAGAAACATTAACAGAGGATGTCCAAGAGTGACTGCTTTGAGTTCTGGGCTCCTTTTAATCTGAATGATTTTCAGAAAATTTGCTTTATTTCTAAATATGCCGATTTAGTTCCAACCTAATTGGTAACTAGAAAAATGTTTAAGAAGAAGATTTGATAATATTAAAATTGACAAAAAAAAAAAAGTTTAACAGTACTATTTGTGTTTGTTGTTTTTAAACAGAAAGCCTAATTTTGAACCCACATAAAAAAAACTGCACTAAAGAGAAAATAATGAACATTTTAGTTTAGCTCACTTTGTTGATCCAGATGGTTAAATTAGAGGTGGCAAAATGGGTCAAATTCCATGTGATGTTCATTTTGCTTTATGAACCTTTGTTTTATTACAAAGTTAACACACTGAAATGAAATGTTTATCAGGGTAAATGCTGAACCATAAAAATATCATCAATGGTTCCCCTTCAATGATCCAAGGAGGGAACGCTGCCCTGTTAACATCAATCAACCTTTATTTATACAGGTAAATCCCATTGAGCCTCGAGGACTCATTTACAAGAGAGACCTGATTTCAACAAAGAAAGATGACAACAATGGACAACAGCAACAACAATAAGCAGTTATAAAAACTCATACTACAGTTTTTTTTTTTTGTTTTGTTTTTTTTTAACAAATAGGATGGCTAAAAGGAAAAAGGTAACAAAACAAAAAAAAACAGCTAGATTCCAAGACAAATGTATAAAACTAAAAACAGGAACATGTCTGCATTGGTCCCTGCCAGGAGTCCAACAGATTCTTAAAGCCACTTAGAGAGGTCAAGGTCGAGAGCTTCAAATCTTTTTGTAAGATATTCCAGGAAACAGGAGTGGAGTAGGATACAGTTATAACATAACTGAGCCTCCTGTCTACAGACATTCCCCATCCTCGCCGCAAGTTCTGCTAACAGTCAAGGAGCAGCAAATGTTGCCAAGGACCAGTCAACACAGGATGTGTAGTATCAGTCTAGCATTAGTAATGTAGCTCTCCTCCAATTCCCCCTGAACAGAAGGTCGTGCACTGTAAAGCAGTAGTACGTGTTGTATGATGCTGTGAAAGTTCAAGGTCAACTACATTACCCATGTATCCATCTGCAGTAGGTAAAACTGATTATTTCCCAGTTAAATAATGACTTCAGGCTAAAAAAAAAAAAAAAAAACTATATTTTTTAATGTACATTATGAGACGTACAAGCTTGGAAAAAAAAACTAGATTTTTTTTAGCATGGCAATGTTTTTCTAGATTAAAATGTATTCAGCCAACTCTTAGAACATTTCACAACAGCAATTAGAGCTGTACCATGTCGGACCATGCTTGAGAACATCAGTATAACATTTTGAATGATAAAAACTGTTGACTCACAGTTTTAATCACATTAAAACAACATATTTATAGAAATGAAAACCGTAAGCTACCTCAAAATTACAAAAATGGTTTAGTAACACAAGAACAGACCTGCAACAAAGGTGTCAGTACTGTGCAGACGTCCAATTACTGATAGAAATTTTGCTCATTTTCATCAGATACTGAGATTTAAATTTGAGTTTAAATTCTCCACTCAACAATCCTACAAGGTCAGATCCTGGAACATTACTCACTTTCAATACTATGACTAAAGTCTAATCTACCTGAAGTCATATTACCAGATGAGAACAGATAACAGCAACGGGTTTTAATGTGGCATATATATATATATATATATATTAATTCAACAAATTGAGTTATTGAATAAATAACTAAATAACTGTGTTGTTCAGGTATTCCTAATTTTCTTTAATGATTGTACTGCCACAATTTTTTTTTTTTTACTTTCATTTTGAATGATAAGAAATGAGAGTCAGCCCAACTAAAGGAAGGAGTAACTGTCAAGAAATAAATGAAATGCATAAATTATTGTTGAGTTCACAAATGAACAGCATAGTGTTTAATTCATGTGTGATTAAAAAGCTGAAGCTGAAGTATTTTGACCACAAATTTGATGTCATATTAGTTACATTAGAATATTTAACTGCAAAGTATTCAGCCATTACTGTAGCATCAATATTGTTTTTACCTCATGCGATAGTGCAACTTGATTGAGGTTTCATCTGTGATCTTGAACTCGTGGCTGGGAGCATACCAAGTGCCAGTTTTCTCATCGAACAGGGCGAACAGGTTAAAGCACAAAGGAGTGATGGCTGAGAAAGAGAAAAGCGATGAAAAGAACAATATTCAAACCTCTAGGAGAAAAGGTAAATGGACTGTACCTATACAGCGCCTATCTAACCAAGATATTCAAAAGTGCTTTACAACACAATCTGTGCCCTCATTTACCTCCACACACACATTCATACAGCCCTCTACTAATCTGAATCTAGAGACTAATCAGTGCTTTAGTATTCATACACCGATGGGACACACATCGGAGACAATGAGGGGTTCATTGTCTTGCCCAGGGACACTTCATCATGTGACTGCAGGTGGAATATAAACCCCAACTTTTCCATTGGAGGACAACTGCTCTAACCACTCAGCCACAGCTGCCAGGATTGTTACATTAAAATAGTAGCCATTTGCAGCTCTTTCATAAAGTATTTGAGATGAACAGAACAGTGGGTTAATAAAGCAAAATCAAATGCTCAATCCACAGAGATATACCACTACATTATTCTCCATTCAAACTTGAGTGTTTCTATATTTTGCAAAAGGAGAAATGCACAATTTTAATTTTATGAGACACTTGTTTACATAAAATCTATGATTCCCAACCTTTGTAGCACAGGAAAAATCTGATATTTAAAATAAATTTAAAACCAAATTTAAGTAACTTTAAGTACTGTAACTTGCCATGTAAAGGTATGATTATCGGTATTAACCATTTAAAAAAAGATAGTTATTCTAAATACTACTTTAGGAACATTTAATCTTGTTGGTGCATCATGAAAAGCACCAAATAAAGTGAAAAAAATAGTCTGGTTTTTAAAACTAGAATCAGAATAAGCTTTATTGTCATTGTACAGAGATACAATGAGAATATGTCCGTACAGTCGTCCGAAAATGGCCTCTTGCTTGGGAGTAAGTACATTTTAATGGTTACACTTAAATGCTGGTGTAGATTCTCAGTCATTTAGGACATAATAAATCCTAATGACAGGGTTTATCAAGAACACAACTGTTCAACTAAATTCATAGTTCATACTTGTAACCTTCATTAAAGCAACCTGCAGCAATTAACCAGAAAACACGTCAAGTTACTTACAGCACTTCTTTGCAGCAGACACACAGAGCTCCTCAGCAGTGTAACACCCTTTGCAATACTCCAGTTTTGGTATGTCTGGAATGTAAAAGTGAATTTCCAGGCCCAAAATGGAAGGAGGAGGTGTAAGTTGGGCCTTTCTACTTTTCCTCATCTTCATACAGAGTTGCCTGCTCAACTCCATCATCCAGAAAGTTGGCATTCAGATCCTAGAAGAGCAAATTTGGAGAAAAAAAAAGAGAGAGAGGGTTCAACATTAAACTTTTATTTTAAAAATCTCTATGCAGCAAGAATCTCAGCTTTCAAAACCTGCATTTGTATTTTATAACTGATTGAGGTCAGAACATCTCAATACATTTTAATTAAAATAGCAGAGTCTGAATAGGCAACTCTTGAGCCAATTTTAAACACTTAACGAAAGCTAAAGCAACATGTGTTCTTATTTCAACCCATGTCACTATTTAGGTTTTGGGGGCATTTCTTTTTTATACGTGTAAACCATTTTATTACAATTAACATTTACAACTCAATACCACCATTAGATGTGCAAAATAGTAGGGCAATTAACTAAGTATCCCTACATGAGACTCTGCTATACAGAATATATGAAGTAGAGGTCACACAACTTCAAATAGAGCTAGGAAGGCCACTGCCTATCAATCCTAAAAAAGGACATGAACCATCCCATCAAACAGCAAACAGAGAAGTCGGGTCAACAAAGGAATGTCGGAATGAGCCAAGATTGCATAACAATGTTTTAGGACTTAGTCCCTCTGTTACAAAATGTTTAGAGAAAAGTATAATTCGATTAACTGAAAATAAGGGTTTTGGGCAATAATAACAATGTAGGTTGTTTCTACCTCAGTTAGGGATGTTAATACACTGGAGCAATCAAAATAAATTAGGTAAAAAGCCTACCAAATAGAACAGCTGAACTACTTGATATGAATGGGAAGATGCATGCCTGCTGCACAGAGAATACCCAATTCTACTGAATGTCAGTCTACAGACACAAAGTTTGTTTTCTCAGTCATCCAGGTATATAACAACAAAAAAAGGTTGAATCATGTCATCTGGACTTCGTTTTTTATTAAAAAGAAACGTTTCGCCCCTGGGTAATACCAGATGGCTAGGCCTCAGACTGATGAAGCCTCTTGGATGAGGGGCGAAACGTTTCTTTTTAATAAAAAACCAAGTCCAGATGACATGATTCAACCTTTTTTTGTTGTCAGTCTACAGAGTTACCTAGAAAAGCTCACTGTGGTCCCAATAAGAACCCACATGAATTGCTAATATAACTATATCTCTTTGGTTTGTATCACTAAATATGTAATGTATTTTCCAGCATATGTCAGTTTTTTTCCATAGATTTGTCAGTCCCGAGACTTATACACTGAAGCAACTTATATATGTTATAGGGATGCACAATATTGGATTTTTGGCTGATATCAGATATGCCGATATGTTAAAACTTATTTGGCTGATAAACAATACCAATACCGATATTTTTCCCAAAACCTACTTACAGAGACTACATAACTTTCTCTGCTGTGGAATTAAAATACTACATTATTCTGCATGGTCTCTGTCAGTTTGGTCTGCTACCAAATGCAGATGCCAAAAAGGGGGCTGAAAATGATGCAACACTAAATAAATATATAATATACATTTAAAAAAAAATAGCACCTTTTATATCAGTGAGTTATTTTGAGAGAATGGCCGATGCTTAACTTTATTTGCTAATATCGGCCGATACCGATACCAAGCCGATAATATCATGCATCCCTATTTTTTACCATATTCATGACGCAATTTTGACTGATGCTTTAAATTTAAAAAAACTGCAACAGCGTGTCCTCCCGTGCGTGCTCACTTCACTCTGCTAGCGCAGGCGGAGGAACGCTAGAGAGTTAGCAGCTCCGGCTGCGATGGACGGATGGCGCCGCCCAGGCAAAATGAAGCGGTTTTAAAATAATAATAATAAAGTGCTATGTGCTGTCATCATTGTATGTTGCCATACAAAGAAAAAAATTGGCTCTCTGCATTTAACCCATCGCACCTGGGATACACCCAGATGGAGCAGTGGGCAGCTATGTAAGCACCCTGGGAGCAATTCGGGATTAGGGATTAGGTGTCCTGCTCAGAGACACCGTGAGATGTGCAATGACCAGGGATCGAAGCCAGGACCTTCGGGTCCCGAGTCGGCTGACCTACCCCTACACCATCTCAGCCCATAAAATTTTGACCATTAAATAAACACATAATAAACGTGATGGGTCAGCGGTGATACATAATAATTGCGAGTTACACGCCGAAGCGACTTATACGCTAGAAAATACTGTATACAGTACATAATCTGTTATAATTATGAATAACTAATTATATTCTCTGTCCAATTATGACCAGCATACTTGCATCAAATAATAATTATCATCTATTCACACTTGATATCAAATCTCGTGGGAAAAATACAAAATAAAAACAGAAGCAACAAAATAAACAAGAGCACTATGATCCATATACTGTAGCTACAGCAAGTGAGATACCTGTTTTTTAGTAATTTGGTTGCTGTTCTTTGTGTTTTTTCACTATGGCCATTGTTGATTTAATCTCATACTAAGTCTAAATCAATCATTTAAATGATGCGCTACGAGTACCAGTATCATAAACAGTAAAGGAGTTATCTTTGAATGGTTTAAAGCCCTGCCATCTTGTTGTACAGCTGAATTTCTTTGGAAGGTTTCAGTGAGTCATCCTCCGCCTCAAAGTCATTGCAACAGCTTGCTTCATCCCTTCCCTCCTCTCATCCATTACAGTGTACTACTACTAGTAGCACACAATGACATCAGTTGTGTGGGGTTTTATTAGATGTTGGTTACAGGTCAAACAAAAGACAAATACTTTCTCCTAACCATTTCTTTACTGTTCCCAACAACAGTTGGAATATACTCTGCTACAATAGGTGTATTATTGCTAATACTCATTAGTTGTTGGATGTAAGTTTAAGAGAGGAGCACATGTACCTAGGGCTGGTCATCATCACACATGCTTTTCAATAGTCAACAGTAGCTATGTTTACATGCGCAGAATTCTTTGACCGGATTGAAATGTGTTCTGTTTGAATAATTCAAATGTGTTGTTTACATGGGCACAATCTGTTCATGATGAGCGTTTACATGCAGCGGGCTTTGTTCTGAAGAGCAGTACTGACATGCGCAGAGTGGTAAACTCTCCTTAAAAAAAACACCGAAGAAGAAGTTCTACTTCCGGGTGAACGTAAACAAACCTGAGCACCCAAAATGGACCCGCGACAGGTTTTAATGATGGTGGAGATGTTATTGCACTCCCTGACTGAGCTACAGGTAATAGAAATCATTTTGAGCTCTTTAAAAGTTTCTAGTAGAAATGTTGTGTCGCTCACCGACCAGTTTTACTTCCCTGACATGCTAACATTATTAGCGTTAGCCAGGCGGAAATGGCAAAGTCGCACATGCGCAGTCAGGTCAGTTTTTCACCATCAGATAAAAACGAACAGATCAAGCGTTTACATGCGCACCGATCGGGTTACGGATCGGCGTAAACCACCCGTTTCGTTCTGATCAGAAATTATAACGGATCGCGCCGAATACACAAAAAATAACCCGAACGGAGCGTTTACATGACACACTTTAATTCCGACCGGCCATTTGATCCGGTTACTTATGTCCATGTAAACATACCCAGTGGCAGCCAGTTGGCTTATGACTGGGATTATACTCAAGAGGGCAAACTGGGTGCTATAGAATCTAATATGTCTCTAGCTGGGGTTGCAGCAGAGCCAAAAATACTGTAGCTTGCATTTAAACTAATTAAAATTATTGCATTAACTGTCAGTGAACAATTTGTTACTGCATTCTTAAAGCAAAAGTTAAAAAAGAAGGCAAGAATAAAAAACACTCTTATGGTGAAACAGTTTAAAATTATTTTGAAAGAACATGGCCACCACATCCTCTAACTATATTTTGTTGTTGTTTTTTAAATAAACATACAGGTCAAAAGCCAACATTTGTGAAGCTTTGAGGTAAAGTACTTTTTCACTTGAAACCCCAATCATTGGTTCACCTAGATCCTTTAAGCCTAAATCAAACTGGTTATGCCCTGCTCATGTGTAAAATCAGGTGCCAAAAGGCCAAATACATTCACTGCTACTTCCAGTATTCAAGGTTGCCATTCAACTCTAGTTGAATGGTCCTTTACACCTACTTCTTATTTACTTTTATATACAAACAAAAAAAAAAGGTTTAATGGTGTTTTACGTTGTGATAGCTAAATATCCTCAACTTGTAATGTTGCTGGATGTTGGAATGACTGAAGAGCACAGCTGGAACACACGCAGATATGAACACTGTTTAGACCAAGTGCATGTCAACAAACCGGAAGTAGGAATGGGTATGTCTAGACAACAATGCATCGCAAAATACTGACACTGAGCATGTGCAGTAGTATCTGTAAAAAGGTCAATGTTAGAGATGTACATGTTGTCACAAAACACTTTAAATGAGACAGAAAAACAAACAGCTACTAACATAAATCACCTAAATAAGGTGGGGCGAGACCTAGAACTAGAACAGTAACCTAAAATAAAATTTTGGATTAAAAATATAATCAAACAAAAGACTATATAGGTTAAATGTTCCCAAATCTCATAAAAATCAATGTGATGCTTGAATTCTGAAGTGACCAATTACTACAGTTTTTAAACACAATCACAAACATTTTGTTACTAAATCAGAAATATTTTATGTAAAACTTTAAACTAGAAAGAAAATTACTATAGCTACTAAGATGCTATCTCAAAAGGTAGATTGTTTAAAAAGGTAGATAGGCAAATTAGTTGAAGAGTAGGAACTGTTTTATTTATTGTTCAAGTTCTTAAGTCTGGATAAATAAATGCTCATTTTGTTTGTTACCAATTTTATTAGATTACTTTTAAATGTGGAACATGTCTCACTTGGTAAAAAAAAAAAAAAAAAAAGGTAAACCACTGAAATAAACACACACACAAGGTGAAGAACAAAAGGAAGTTGCTGCCGAAGCAATAATGTCACAGAAGCCACTTGGTCCACGCACAAAAGGTCAGATCAGTTGTGTCCCTTAGCGTTAAATATCACAATGAATACCACAAGGTGAGCCCACACCTTCCATCCTACAAACATAGGATCACTACTAGAACTGTTCTTCTCAATCAGGACAATATAATACAGTTTAGGATATTTGAAGAAAAAAGTTATCATTTGAAATTTATTTCAGGTATGTGAAAATCCGATGTTTACATTTATACGAAAAAATATAGAATAGAAAACATATTTTACACTATTTAAATTTAGCAGTAAAATTCATGCAAGATTATGTAATAAACACTGTTTCAATTTAACGCAGCCCTCTTCACCTAACTTCTTTTGTTTTCATCAATATACATTAAAAAAAAAAAGAGTGTGAAATTATGCAAAGTTATGTTTGTTTGTTTATTTGTAGGGGATTGATCTGATTTACAGTGATTCTAGCAAGTAAAGTTAAAGGTTGCAGGAAAGGTCTATAAAATGAACTCAAACCAAAAACACATACATTATTTGCAGTAAATGATCAAAGACAAATTAACAAAGGGCAAAAACAACAATAATAACAATAATAATGATTTTGCTTGAAATGTGCCAAACTGTTAAAGAAACAGTATTAACACCTACTTATTCGTGTAAACATTACCTTATGTGATTAAATATGACAACCAGGAAGATATCGTGGAATGTTAGAGACATAAAAGTTGTACAAAGTGGTTTGTTTTTTGTCTTTTCAATTCCTTTCCCTCTTTTTACTTTCATTTTTCAAACACCAAAGAAGACTGGCTTAAGAGAAAACAAATGGATTACCCTTGTTTTTAGTTGTATTACCTACTTTTCAAACATGTTCGCCCTCGAATAAAAATTAGTTCTTGGGGTTTTTTTTCACTGTGAATACTTAAGATATTTTATTTTAATTACGTGAATTACCTCCACCGAAAATGGACGTTCGCTAGCGTTAGCTTGTTAGCAGGAGAGTGAAGTTAATGTAGCTTAGCAGCTCGCCGATTAAAAACAAGAAGAAGAAGAAGAAAAAAACTCATATTAGATGGTTTTCTCAGCTGACAATAAAGCAAGAGGTGTTTTTGATGGAAACAATAAATAAAAGGCTCATTACTCACCTCACAACCTTCGCCAGACAGCTGGCAAGTTACTTCCGTTCAGTGCATTCGTGATCGCCTTATGCGCCTTTGGGAGGCTTTTAGTCTTCTTTAGTCGTCGTTTCGGTTCCAAACCTTGCTTAAACCGATCCAGTTTTTAAAACGTTTGATGATTTTACAGGGTTTTTTTTTTTAAGTTGGACTGTTTAAAACGGCGACGTTCTCTCGCTTGCTGCTGACACTCTTCCTGTCATCTAATGTCCTTTTCCCGAAAACAACGCAATCGTTGACTATCAAACTCAGAAGCTGATTGGCTGAAAGACCCGTCACTCACGTGACGTCATTAACCATTTCAATCTAGACGCAGGAAACAAAACACCAGAGAAAAATAAATAAATAAAAGGAAACAAAAGACTGCTGTCAAAGTGCTGCTTGATTTTAGTGTTTTGATCTGTTTATCTGGTCTAAATCCACGTGCAGTCTGCATATTTATATCTTAGAATGCATAAAAATTGTGAAATAAGGAAACACTGCCTTAATAACACAAACTGGGTGATGTGGTATTTAACAAAAGCAATTTTACCCTAAAATGCAAATAAACAATGCATGTTTTTTTATTTTTTATTTTTTTACTTTATATCTTTTCTCTAGATAGAACCCTAAAAGTATCTATTCATGCATCAGCAGGAAAAGACTATTCTTTGGTCACAGACACTTCCACATTATTTCATCCACCACAAAACTAGTTTGTTTTTGTTTGTTTATGTTCTGTTTGAAGAATAGCTTCCATGAAAAGGTATTTAAGATATTACATTGTGTACATATTTAAATGTAAAATTTCATTAAGAATAAGATGGACAAAATGAAGCCACTCCAATTTATAAATTGATTAATTTAACATATGTGCTACTTCAAATATCCTCAGCCTTATCACTGACAGTCACTGAGGCTGATGATATTTTAACAAAACAAAAACTATTTAAGCCCAAACAAGAGACAAAAATGTGTGTTTGAACATATTTGGGATGTTGAAACCTTTTTATTACGGGACCTGCATTTGCACAATTCAGTAAATTATAAATAAAAGTAAAGTTTTACAGCATATAAGTAATTTTTAAAGTTAGAAATCACCTTAGAAATAATGTGTTTTAGTTATTTTATAAACAAAATCCAATAAAACAAGTTTATTAGTCTTGTCAATATAGTATAACTTGAGCTGAGAGGTGTCAAAAGGCCAAAAAAGGCACCTTTTGTTAAAAATAATAATAATAAAAAGTGCAAACTCTTTTTATGGTCCATTGTGTATTCATTGCTCAATGTTGCTTTGAATTTGCTTGAAGTAAGAAAGTGGTGAATAATGAGTCAATGAGATGTAAAATAAAAACACGCTCTCTTCTAAAAACTATTTGGAGTGATGGTATAATTTAAAAACTACTTTTCTCTATTGATATCAGACAAAATACCAAGCCAAACATGCCAAAAAAATAAATAAATAAGAGCGAGAGAGTATTAATGGCTGTATAAAAAATAAAAACTGTTAATTTTTCCTTGAGCTAATTATAGGTTGTGGCTGCGTGAGTGCAGCTACGGCGTGCGCTCTCAGGACATTATTACATGCAGTGTTCCCTCAGTGAGGACTGAACTAGGCAAAAGGGCCTTCTCCTACTCCGCTCCTGTTTCCTGGAATATCTTACAAAAAGACCTGAAGCTCTCGACCTTGACCTCTCTAAGTGGATTTAAGAGTCTGTTGGACTCCTGGCAGGGACCAATGCAAACACGTTCCTGTTTTTAGTTTTCTACATTCACCTTAGAATCTAGCTGTTTTTTGTTAACTTTTTTAGACATCATATTTGTTTAAAAAAAAAAATGGAGTATGACTTTTTATAACTGTTTATTGTTGTCGCTGTTGTCCATTGTTGTCATCATTCTTTGTTGAAATCAGGTCTCTCTTGTAAATGAGTCCTCGAGGCTCAATGGGATTTACCTGTCTAAATAAAGGTTGAATGAATGTGGCTACAGATTTTCTCCAGTTGTTCTAGCTTGCTTCAAAACACAACATCCTACGCATGCATTTGCAGTTCTAAAGGTTTGAGCAAGTTGTCTAGGTTTTATAAAGAACTCATTTCCTGAGTGTGTTCTTCCTCATTGTCAACTGGAATACACTTCAGCTCTACAACTTCCTACTTAACACCATGAACATGAAACAGACATCAGCTGGAATTAAGTGCAGACATTCAGTCTAATGTTATATTTTAAGAGAACCAAATTAGAACACAAAGAATATTCATGCACATTAAAATGTTTTTGAAGCTTTGAAAGGCATTGGAAAGACAAACTAAAACTTCTCCAGCGTTCAAGAAGTTTTACCAGCTGGAAAATACCTCCTTAAAGAAAAATCTATACAGCTACATTCCAGAGTGTAAAATATATTTATGCGTTGCATACTTTCCCCACATAAACATGAGTCATTTGGTCTATGTTGTTTCAGCAGCATATCACATTTAATAGAGAAAAGACATGTGTTGACAAACGAAAATATTCACATTTTCTTTATATTGAAGCAGGAACTGGAAATTACTTAAAACAAGATGGGGTTGGTTCATTACAGAGAGGGGCTGCCCACCCATCAGCCGTTTTATACATTAACTTGCTTAAAGGGAAGTGTGAGGAGGAAAATTCCCCACAACCATAGACACAAACGATGAGTAACCTTTCAGAAATTGAAACTATTGTCACTAAAGTGATCGTGTGCTGGCTCTCTTTTAGAAAACAACTCCTTTCAGACGTGTGAATCCACCTGACTTTCATGTTCTGCTATGACAACTTGTGCCATAACCACAGTGTCTCTGATTATCACATGATTCTGATTAAGACAAAAACATGAATCGAGGTGAGATGAGCAGACTGGAGGTAGAATGAGAAACCAAAACATCTTTTGTGACTCTGCAGAGGATTTCTGCAGCATGCCAGCAGTGCACCCTTAAGATGAAACATACTCGTGACAGGTGTAATAGACTTGTGATTTTTTTGGTTTTAATTCCAGCTAATTTCCATCTCAAATAAAAACATCATTGAGATTAGTGCTGCGGTACGTTGATGTATAAGGTTTGCCGCCTAACTGCTAGTCACAATAGAAAAAAAGTGACCTTTACTTTTTCACAGAATTAAACATGAACTCATGTATATTTTTTTAACAGCACTAAAGAAATTTAAGCCTTTGTTTGTGAAAATCTTTCAAGAATTAATGAAACAACCTAAATTAATTTTGTTAGCCCATTTTAATATCAACATTATTGACTGGAGTGCTGTGCAAAGTCTAAATTATAAAAGCAATGCAGAATAATTCTAATAAACATGAACAGTTCAATCAGTCAAAACAAAAATCCACAAGAACCAATACATTTGCTCAAAAAACTAAAAGCCAATGAAAACAAATGGACTGTCAGCATAAATTTAAAATCATTGATGGCACGAGTAGCTCAGATGTAGTTTTGACTGAGCCAATAGTTTAACATAGTTCCAATACATAGAATGCCACTGATTTGCGGTAGATTTCACAGCCTTCGCTATTTTCCAACGCTCTTCCCTTGTTGTGTTTTTACATGAACAGTAGATGTACTATTTCCAAAACTCCAGGGCTAAACTGTGTCAGCTTTTAAAATTTTAAATCAGGGAACAAGGATGAGTGAAACTCTCAAAGTTATGTAGAATATGTTTGTTTGGGATTTGATGTTAATGGATGGGCATTACCTGCATTTCTAGGGTTTGATCATATAGGTTCAAGGTGAATTTAATATCGTTCACATACCATGTGTTGGAATGAAGTTGTGTATTCAAGGTCCCAGTTACACCCAAGAATAGCAAAAATATACAAAAAAAAAAGAAACAGTATTAAAGGATCTAAGATATATACTAAACAATAATAATGTAATATATGCAATATAGTGTATTAAACAGCAGCCTGAACATGAGTTTGGTGTGAGCAGATATAGCAGCTTAAAGGCAAAAAATCAGCAGCATGGATAAAGTGACATATCACCAATTAAAGTGGCATTACAGTGATTTTTCTGGTTAGGGATTTATGAGACTAAAAGCTTCAGGGTAGAAGCTGTTCCTCAGTCTAGTGGTTCTACACTTAATGCTCCTCAACCTCCTGCCTGAGGGTAGCCAAGCAAAAAGTGTGTGTGCTGGATGAGTGGGGTCCTTCATGATGCAGGTGGCCCTCTTCCTGCATATGGAGGTGTAGATGTCTGTGATGGTGGGGAGGCTGACGCCAACGGTCTTCTGTGCAGCCTTCACCAATATCTGCAGAGCTTTTCTCTCTCCAGCTGTGCAGCCTCCAGTTGCTGGAGCACAGGATGCTCTCCACTGCACACCTGCAGAAGGGAGGACTGAGCTTCCCAGGGCAGCTCACCTCAGCTGTCTAAGGAAGTAGAGTCACTGAGTCAATGCTTTCTTAATTAGACTGGCAGTTGTAGCCCCAGATGAGGTTGTTACTCAAGTGCACACCCAAGTATAGTGAGGAGATGTAGGCTATTTGGTACACTTACGCCCAAACTAACATCCTACAGAACAAAACAAGTGGCTGACATGCCAAATAAGTTTCAGCAAAAACACTAACGTGTATTTATTTTTTTAACACCATTTGTTAAGGTTAGTTTCATACGTGCCTTGCAATCTGAGCCATATAGAACAGACTACAGCGCCCCCTGCTGACAAGAAGTTAGAAGAATTTTGCAAGAATGCTAAATGTAACACGTGTTTCGCTTTTACAACTTAATAATGCAGTTATTAAACACCAAATTCAACAGTATAATTTTTAGACTATTTTTGTGAACTTTTTGGATTTCATTCTTGACTGTTTAACAATAAACAGATTAAAATGAGAACATTGTGAAGAAATATATAATGCTGGATTAAGTCCAACTGCGTTCAAGCATTGTTGTTTGTGGAGCTATTAAACATTTTTAGCAAAAAAAAAAAAAAAAATGTTCATGGAAAAAAGTAGATAAATATAACAAACAATAAAATCTGTGTTTATTGGGACGGTTTTGTTTCAACATGTCTAGTTGCTTGTAAAACATTTACTGGTTCTATACTGCAGGGGTGGGCAACATTTTTTCCCCCAGAGTGTCAAATAAAGATATATGAAGCTATATATGCAAAGAATAAAAATAAATAAAATATACGTTTGCTTTTTGGAGTCTTTAAAGTTCCTCCACAGCTTTTCAAAGTATTTGTCCAAAATGTTCAATTTAGACTTCCAAGTTTTATTAATAAAATGCAGGTTAACCCATTTAAAAGTTGTTTTCTTTTGAAAAAAAAAAGATATTGGGGGCCA